CAGTTTTATTGTTTGAGATTTTCAAAACGAAATCTCGGGTCGGAGTCTGGTACCTCCGCTATATTACTGGCTATATTATTGGTGGGGTTGGATGGCTGAATTGTTAGCACGCGCGCGCTGTATCATGAGGCCTGTCATTGAGTCAACTGGCGTGGTTTCGAATCCCCGGTTGTACATGACAGGGAGTAGGGTTGCCTGTCCAACCTCGTGGGTTTTCTCCGGTTCCTCCCACTGCTAAAGACCCCTACGTGCAACCGAATTATTGAAATAAAATTAAACCATATGTTAGTCCCGAAATGACCTAGCCTGTGTCGAGTGGACGTTAAACCCCATTTCTCTCTCTGTCTTATATTATATGCAAAATATAATCATAAATGTTGGAACATTTTATGTTTGTGCAAATGTAATAGTCCCTACTCTAACCCCGAAACCGGAAGTGGTAGACTAACGCCACCTGGCCTATGTTACTCCCCGGTCCGAGCTACCCCTATACCCCAAATTTCAGACTCGGGGCAGACCTAGTGTAGCCGCCAACCCCGAACAGACAAACAGACAGACAAACGACAGTCACAAATATTAGTATAGATTTTGAGAACAATTAAAAGGAATCCCTAACCCTAACCATCGGCGGTGAAAAGACACCCCCGTCCAATGCTTGTGTATGTGGGTGAATTATTTTATGATACGAGAGTCGAGTGGTTCGCGGCTGTGGAAGTACATGTACGTCTTATTGTAAATTAGATTCTAATTTATAAACATTGTATATCTTCACGAGAAGAAAATTTAAAGTAGCTAAGTCTCTAACTCAATATCATCAAAAATCTTCGACATTGAAAACACAAATTATTTGTCAGTTCAAATCAACATTGGTCTTGTGATCTTACAGGGAAAAGATGGCCTTCTAATATCCAATATTCAAGACAAACATTTTACCATTGGTACACGAATCGTTTACCATAATGCGTTTCAGCGCCTTTTGGAACAAGGGACTCAAAGAACTCGGCTAGACATATTCCACAAGTCATGTCAATTGGTGACGCTATATTCTTATCTGGAGAGCATGCACAATAAATATCATCGGTGTAGACTGGAATAAACAGACGCTAAATACTGCTATTAATTGCGACTTCTGGCGTATTTCGCCGAACATAACTGTAAAAACAGAAACGGTTGAATGTAAATCAGTTTATATACATTCACATTACATTATTATATGCTTTGTGACCCATTTGTGTCAATTTCTAGGTCCCAAATATTAGCGATTTAGCTCCTTTAATCAAAAAATAAGCCAATAATTACCTTCACTTCAGGGCTATCTAACTATTGCTCGAAAACTAAATATAGGTAGTTGTACTTCTTTACAGGTATCTTGTCTCTTGATCGGAATCACATGGCTAAGTGGGTAAGACGATGGCTCGCTAGCCTGGAGGTCGGGTGTTCGATCCCTGCATTGGCCAAGAAAGTTCATCCAGATTTTCCGGCGTGGTTTCCCCTTGTCAGTGATGCAGGACAGAGGGCCTGACAAAGACAGCTGTCTAGTCGTTTGGATGGGACGAAAAACCGAGGTCCCGTGTATACATTGGCTTGCACGTAAAAGATCCCTTGGCAGTTGGAATTCGATATAAGAGTAGGCCGTAGCGCCGCTGCCCGGGGAAAATTTTCCTCATAGCACACTGTATAGCGTATGCCCGTCTTCATTAGCCCAGGTTAGGAGCAGAACAGTAGGACGTTAAACCCTATTTCATTTCATTTCAATATGACCTTCAGGGTTATTGTCAAACTTCTACAGAGAGAGAGAGAGCACCAGAGAGAGAGATGGGGTTTAATGTCCACTGGACACAAACTAAGTCATACCGGGACTAACATATGGTTCAATTTTATTTCAATAAGGGAATAAACCGGCGAGCCCGGAGAAAACCAATAAGGTTGGACAGCTACTCATTGTTACTACAAGTGGGGAATGAAAACCAAACCACTTGACTCTATGACAGACCTTCTGATCAAACCAATTCTTCACGGATTGAAGATACTTTAAAAGGACAATACAATTAATGTAAACCATCGAACATTTTGTTGGTTGCGACCCCATTCCAGAAACCATCCTCTGATCGCGACCCCTCGAAGAACCAAGTCCCCTTTTACTATGAAACATCATCATTATTTACAGAAACCGTGGGCGCAAGGGTGGAAAGACGATTGACTCAATGACAGACCTTACGATCCAAGGTGCACACGTTAACCGTTCGGCCAACCCCACTCTCCCCAAGGAGTAGGGGGCGCTTGTCCAACCTTTTGGGTTTACTTCGGGTGCTCCCCACTGCTCAAGACCCCTATGCACAAGCAAATTATTGAAATAAAGTTGAACCATATATTAGTCCCAAAATGACCTAGTTTGTGTTGAGTGGATGTTAAACCCCATCTCTCTTTCTCTCTCACATATTTGTCCCTTAACGGAACCCCTGCTTTGAACAGTCTTCATTAGCCCAGTTCGGAGCAGAACAGTAGGACGTTAAACCCCATTTCACTTCATTTCATTTGATTGAAATTTTAAATAGGCTTTAACATAAACTCAACACAAAATAACTCATTTCGTACGAGACTAACATGGTTCAGTTTTACTTCAATACCGTAATTCACTTGCACCTCAGGGTCTTTAGCTGTAGGAGGGAACTAGAGGACCTGAAGAAAACAAACGAGGTTGGACAGGCAACCCTACTCCTTTTCACATACAAGCAGGGAATCGATACCACCAGGGTTGGGGCCATTACATTGCCAATGTAATTAATTACATTACCATTACTTTTTAAATGTAATCAATACAATTACTCTCATTTTTAGCAATGTAATTAAATACCATTAGCCATTACATTGAAAGTAATTATTTACCATTACCCATTACTTATGACTATATAAATAAAAAAAACATTTTTGATAGAAATTAAAAAGACAACCTTATTTTTCTGCCATGAAGTACCTACAAAATCAAACTCAAAATAATCCTTGATTCACTTAATAGATATTTGATTATGAATTATTATTTCTAGCAATTATTATAACATCAAGGCAAATTTTATAGTGACGGGCATTGGTGGCAAAAACTGACATTTTCACTGTATGACTTGAAAAATTAATCAAAACTATAGTTAATTAACTGTATTTTCTTTTAAGTAATTTTTAAAAAAAATTTAATCAGTCCAAATAGTTTTTCTATAATATATTGTATAATAACTGGTAAATTATTCAGCATGGCTCTAAAACAAAATATATATGGTTTTAAGTAACCATAAAATGATGAGATACTTGAAGGTCATTGTTTGGTTTGTCACTTGTTACCTTGAGATTAAGATTAAAGTGCCATAAGACTATTTATTGTCTTTTAATCTAACTGATTGATTGATTGACTGAGTGATTGGCTGCAAATTAGTACTAATCTTACCACACCACTTGACTCAATAACAGACTTTATGATGCAACACGCCCACATTAACCATTTGGTCACCCAACCTGTCTATTCAACATACATTATGCAAGAGCTAAATTTGCCCATTGCAGGTCTTTTTTTAGACCTGACATGTTATATAAACTATTAATTAGACATTTATTAACAAAACAAGACCATAATCAACTCTCGATGGCATCTGATACTTGAGATTTTAACTAGATTAGAAAGGTTCACCATTTAAAAGTTGGGGACCACGTGGCTAAGTGGGTAAGGCGCTGGCTCGCTAGCCTGGAGGTCGGGTGTTCGATCCCTGCATTGGCCGAGAAAGTTCATCCAGATTTTCCGTCGTGGTTCCCCCTTGTCAGTGATGCAGGACGGAGGGCCTGACAAGGACAGCTGTCTAGTCCTTCGGATGAGACGAAAAACCGAGGTCCCGTGTATACATTGGAATGCACGTAAAAGATCCCTTGGCAGTTGGAATTCGATATAAGAGTAGGCGATAGTGCCGCTGCCCGGGCAAAATTTCCCTCATAGCACACTGTATGGCGTATGCCCGTCTTCATTAGCCCAAGTTAGGAGCAGAACAGTAGGACGTTAAACCCCATTTCATTTCATTTCATTTCCATTTAAAAGTTTAATTTAAAAATGGGAAAGCGAGGCTAAGTCTTGAATATACCGGCGCTCTAGTTACCACAATGCACACATCTTGTCAAAACAACAAACGGTGATAAGTTGGCTCAGAAAGAAGTCATTGGAATGAAATTTTCAATATTTTCATTTTACATCATCTATTTTTTAGCTATTATTTTATAGCAAGAATGGTCAGTTTTTTTATCTAAATTTTACATAATGTATCTTTAAACAAATAAATATTAAGCCAATAGTGAATTCTAATTAACCAGCCCCCACTTAGACTATGTATAGACATGTAAACATAGTAATCTGGACGATATTCAATATTTTCATTTTTGCAATATCGGTACATAAAAATCTACAATATATAACATGCTATGCCATTATTTCATTATCTGTTTGGTAATGCTTCAGGCAAGGCGACTTGAAAAGGGGTGGTATCCCCTAAAATTACAATCTTCCATGTATGACCTGCATTACAGTTACCGCAATACAATACCAGTACTGCAGTAGTGAGTACAAGTACGACCTGGACTACAGTAATACCAGTACTTGTATGACCTGGACTACAGTACTTGTACGACCTGGACTACAGAAATACTTGTGCTGGACTGGCTATATCTTTTTGTTAAGGCCAGCTCATATTTGTCAACGTCACTGAGATGTAAATAAGGTTAAGGCACATGATTGTTAGGTCAGGGTGAGGGTAAGGTAGGGATTAGCGCTAGCGCTGTTTACATCTCGTACCCTATGAAAAAAAATTGAGCTGGTCCCAACACACCATATCATCCCATGGCCCAGGAAATAACCCAACACACCATATCATCCCATGGCCCAGGAAATAACCCAACACACCATATTTTTATCATCACATGGCCGTATACATTGAAAAAAATAAAACGAAGAGAAATATAGCAACACAATATTTTAGTTTTAGCGATTTATAAATGAAATAATATACGTACGTATTCGATTTTACACAATAATATACACTTCACCTTAAAAGTTGCTCAAATTAAAATCTGTTTGTACACTGACAATAAAACTTGAAATGGTCCCTGACTTATTAAATAGACATCACAGGCTAAATATAATAACAGATTATTATCAAGGTGAAAATAAAAACACACGCAGGTAATTTACAATATCAAAATTAGCTCAACGACTATACAATTATTGTACAAACTCGTAAAACTTGAAAATATATATTTCACATCAATTTTTATCAGTTTTACCCCAGATATTAATCATATCGTACTGCAAGTACGTCGTCAAAATTTTAAAATTTCATTCACGTAATAAAAATCCATTTCTTTGTAAAAATTAAATCCATAATTGCGATAAAATACACATTAATAAAACTAGTAGTTGAACAGTTTTCAGAGTAAAATCAGACAGTTGTACAATTTGTGTAATTTAACGAAAATGAAATCGAAATAAAACAGAAAATATAAATAAAGACTCGAGTTCACCACCAACAACAGAGATCGCCTTTCGATTAACCAAGTCTACATTTAATATGTTAGTATTGGTTACAATTTCAATTTGTTTATAAGTTACATTCATCCACACAGCACAGTTCAAACATAGTCAATATCATAAAACAGTTCAATAGATTCACATTTCATGTATCGTAGCCTATAAATATATATAATCTAATACAAGCCACAACTTGCTTCTTCACACATTTTCTTAACAACCAAACTCATAAATATTTCACTACTTAAAATGCCCCCCCCGCTTTGATATATTGAGACTTGTGTAATCAAGATTGACATCATAACAATACACTATCATCCAGACTGACTCTCAGTTGTTATCTTTAGAATAGTTCACACTAATAAAATTGATGAATAAGGAATTTGCACACAACTTAAATAAATTAAATCAAAAAAAAAATAATAATAAAGCAGCTGAACGCATGGACGGCTAACAAACTGCACTACAAAATAAATTCTTTTACCTGGTCTGTCCTCAATACCGTTTGTTCTTTTGACTTTAAATAAATAGAATTATTTTGATCTGCCATGATATGAACTTTAATTAATATTTACAACCTTTTTAGGAACACAACACACTAATAATTTTCTCCTGGAATTTTACAAAGTAGATCCAATTTGTGGTAATTTGGTCCGTGTGTTCATTTGGGAATGAATATCATCTTGCATCGCAAGTTGTCGAGATTTTGCACTAGAAGTTATTGTACCATTTGAGAGTTTTGGCATGGCCGAGCCTCGAGTTCCCGAGGAGTTGCGCCTCGCCCCGGAGTCAGCCCGGCTCTCATTTTGTGGAGCTCGAGGTAGACGTCTTCTCAGCCAGGGATGTCGTAAAGCTTGACTTGGATTCATACGCACAGATGGATCCCAATCTAAAGATCGACGCATGAAATCTAAAAACATTGGATCATCGCAACCCTTTAAAGCTGTGACTAATTCTTTACTTCCGGGACTTCCTCTAGGTTTTCCTCTTCGTGATCGTCCACCATTTAATACTACACTGCCATCTGGTAAAGTGGTCACAGAACAATACCGTGGATAGCCCTTAGAGCTAATAAAATTACGTGCCCTTTTTGATTGATCCAAGAGCTTTTGAGGGGGCATGCCCTGTAATTCTATAATACACGCCAACTGATCACCTTCATCTTCTCCGGGGAATAACGGATAGCCAGTCAACAACTCCGCTAAAATACAACCTAAACTCCACATATCTATCGGCATTCCGTATTTAGCTCCTAATATAACTTCCGGTGCTCTATAAAATCGCGACTGGATGTACGTGTATATTCTCTGATGCTCATAACAACTAGAACCGAAATCGATCACTTTAATGCCACTTCTTCCCTGCTGTTTTAACAGGATATTCTCAGGTTTGAGATCACAGTGAATAATACGATTTTTATACAAGGCATCTAAACACTGTAATATTGAGTGCGCAAATTTACGAACTAATTGTAAACTAAAACCTTGAAATTTGTTCTTCTTGATCAGTTCATATAAATTCATGCTTAAAAGTTCAAAAGTTATGCATATATGGTTTCTAAAAGTGAAATGTTCTAGCATGTGCACGATATTCATGTTATTTTCTTTATCCTGTTTCTTCAGATGTTCTAATATTCGGATTTCTTCTTGTGCTTGTCGATGAAAGCGTTTCTCGTTGCGAACCATTTTTAAAGCGATGTGTGTACCAACTTTGTGGTCATAGGCTTTCACAACCTGACCAAAGCTGCCTTTACCAATAACTTTTAAAACTTCGTATCGATAACTGATATGATCATGAGGAATGTGAACATAGGAACCATTTTCGTCATCATAACCATTATTGCTGGCACCTCCTATTACCCCTTGTCGTTTTTTAGCATTTTGACCCACAAAATAAATTTGTGGATAATTAAATATTTCATGATGCTCAAATGAACTGAGTTTGTGCATGTACTGTTTCATAGCAACTTCCGGGCTCATGGTATTACTTCTCCGTGCTGCCGACCCACTTTTACTGGCCAAAGAACCGTTACTTGAACTCGGTCTAACCCCAGTGGTGTTGATAGCTTGATTTGAGTTGGTTCTTTGCTGGTCTTGGTCGCCATTTTGAATAACTTCCCTTTTGTCGTGATGTTTGTGATCTTCGAATAACTGCTGGACTTTGACGCTCTGGCTACTCCCGTGTGCATTATGGGCGCCACCAACTGTCTGGCTTGCAAGAGGAGGGAGGTGATGGGTGGTATCGATGGTATTATGAGTATACATATCTCCCGATGTCAACAATGAGAAAGTCCGTTGCACAGACAGAGGCTTCACCCGTGTGGACATACTTCCATGAAAACAAATGTCTTGTATAGCCCGTTCTAGGACAAAATTCACTTCCTTTCGGCTACATTATCGATAAATAGTTATTATTATACAAAAACAATAGCCCGTCTAAGCAATCTTGTAAGTTGCCTGGGCCGACTGAATGGAATTTCACAAACACTGTTGCTATTTTTCGAAAGACAGTATGGCCCCTGCGTTGCCAAGCGCGACCTAGTTGGTCGACGTCATTTTGGTGACGTCATGGAAACTGGGGTCACGTGAGACAACAAATCGCTAGTTTCGATTCACAAGACAACAAGTTAATCTTTAATTAAATGGAATAAAAACAATCGGATTACACGAGATCCAGTTATCCGACAGATTAATTGTCTTGTTAACAAAGTAAATGATCAATTATTGGTTCAATTAACCAGAAGCAGGTGAAAATATGTTGTTATGAATTATTAATTATATTTTCGGCTACATTTATTATACGAGAGTGACATAAAAATTTATTGAACCGATTTAAGTGTCGTCAGCCGCATCGACAATATATGTATAAATATGTCTTCCCATTCATGAGCGGTATATAATAGATGTAAGTATGCGTTTGATCAATAGCGTAACTAGCCGAGTACATTTTGATTTTCCTGCTTACGGCAAGGGTGTTGCCAGGGAAAAGATAGATATTGTTTTGCGTGACGGAATATCCCGTTTCTTTTTATTTTATGTTATATATAGCGACAGGATATCGTACTCGTAGGGCAGGAGCGGATCCAGGATTTTCAGAAAGGGGGGGGGGGCGTGCTGCCTCCACTTGGGAGTGCGAAGCCCGGCCCTCGGTGGGTGGACTGACGGGCAATCAACCAAGTCACCAACCGGACACAGGGACCGCCGACTTACGACGGGGATCACTACCATTTTTAAGTATTTATGTTCTCCTTTCCCGCGAGAATATATGGGGTAAAAAATTGTTCGCCACCGCAAAAAATAGGGGGGGGCGTGCGCCGGGTGCGCCCCCCCCTCCCGGATCCGTGCCTGTAGGGGTATAATGTCTCGTAACACAGGTTATTTTGAGACCAACATAATAGGCCTATCTGATTTTTTATATATTACTGCTATTTTTAGCCAAAGTTTCAATACGGTAAAACTCGATTTGACTGACCTTCGAATTCCGATCAGCTGTCCAGTAATCGTTTACGCGCGTTAACAAATTAGTACACGTAGGGTTAACATCTGGATTTCGTCCAATAGGTGCGATTAGACATTTTCCCTGTCCAGGTCATGGTAACAGCTAAATCGGGCTTAAATATTAGATAACGAGTTGGCAGTTCTCGCTATAATAGTTAAAAAATAGATATTGAAAACATAATATGCTGAAAGTTTCAGTCAAATTGCTTTCCCCTGAACAGAGATTATAGCGATTTAATTTTAGACTTGGATATCATAAATAAAGTCGGCACGATAAATAAAAAAGTCTCGATTATCCAATTTGACGTTAACTCATCCATGACAAAATATATTCAAATACTGCAGTAAAGATCGCAGGCCGATGGCATCCAGAATTGATTATGGTCTGGATAAGTTAATTAATGTCTAATTAATAATTTAGATAACATTTCAGGCCCAAAGAAGGACCTGTAATAGGCAGATTTAGCTCTTACATATAATGTATGTTTAAATGAAATGAAATGGGGTTTAACGTCCTATTGTTTTGCTCCGAACTGGGCTAATGAAGACGGGATGTATGTTTAAGTAAACGCTAGACGTAATTACCGAACATCCAAAGATTGCCCTATATAAGATATTTTTTACAAGGGTGGGTTCAACTCTTTGAAAACCACAAAAAATATTGAGTACCGCAAGACGAATTTCTCCAAAGTGGTCTCAAAACTTGCGTACAATCAATATGAACTGGCCGACGAAACCACATGGTCAAATCATATCAATCGGAAAATTTGGGGGGGGGGGGTTACCAACAGGCGAAAACCTAAAAAAAAGTAAAAAAAAAAAATAACACGCTTCTTTAACTTACAATAGAAAGGGCGGACTTGTACGGAAATGAAATCATGACGTCACCTTCATATGGCCATCAGCTACTTGTATACTGGAGGTAAAAATGTTGACGTTTCACAAACTTTTCTGTTTTAATTATTGTTTTCGCTGGTTCACAGAGCGTTTGGGGACCACATTTGCTCAGTGAGTAAGACGCTGGCTCGCTAACCACGCGGTCACGGGTTCGCTCCCCGTTTTTGCCGAGAACCAGAGGAATTGTCCGACGCGATTCTCCCTTGTCAATGATGCTAGATGGGGTGTCTGGAAAAGACAGTGTCTAGCCGACCCTGTGTACATATATAATATTGATGTGTGTACGTAAAAGAACCATTTACAGTTGGAATTCGAAAAAAGAATCAGCAAAATTCATCAGCCCAGTCGGTGCAGAAGAGTAGAACGTTAAACCCCATTTCATTTCATTTTAAAGAGCGTTTACTTTTAATGATAAAAGCTGCGCGTAATTAATCTTGTGAACTAGACCGACGGGTGCCATTCACTGAGCGAGGGTAATCGAACAGTACCTCGTACTCCCGAAATGACCTGTCAAAAGTACAGGCCATACTTCCAGATGCCACTTTTTTTCCTTAATATAGGCTACTATTGCAAGAGAAAGGCACCGTAAAGACTCCTCCCACGCCACCTCGTGTTGTCTGGGAAACATTTTCTGTGGACTACCTGGCAGCCGCCGCTATCTTCCCAAGATTAGTGTCAACAAAATTATTTACCCCTGATTATCGGATGACGCCGTCTGCCATTTGATAATAGAAGTGGAGGTGGTGGTCTAACGCGCATGTTTTAGGTCAAAGGGTCTGTCAATAATTTCAATAATTCCCAACTTGTGTGTGACAAGGACTCAGAGGGTCCCAAATTCTCAGGGAAATAAAAATATTTTTATTGATATTATTAAGACAGAAGACCTGTCCGTTTGTTTTAGTCATCACACGGTCTCTAGGAATTGTATAATTTGTCATTATCTGTGTTTAGTTTATTACACTTTAGTTTAGATATCAACGTAATGGTTAATCTCCGCTCACGACGCCATATAAAAATTTAATCAATCAATGAAATTCTGTTTAAAGGGACAATAACACTCTTGCTGGCTTGACAGCTCCAGGAAATAAAAAATAGCCTTATTCTAAGTACTAGATGTGTTAGTGTCCTACCTGTTGTGTAAATTATCCATTAAATCCTATTTTACTTGTCCAGAGGGTTCAAAAATATTTTAAAATCAAAGTCACATTTGAAAAGCTTTACGTCAGGCTTTTCAAATCATTTAGTTGAATTTTTCCAATTTTTTAAATTAGGTGTGTTAAGATGAAATTTGTATCATCAATTAATTGGAATATTGTAAAATAGTACAATTTGTTGACCAGAATAAAGATTGGGACATATTATTCAGTTACAACAAGAGTGGTATTGAGCCTTTAAATCCAAGCCGTATCCAAGCCATCCGTGGGTCTACAGAGTTGATTTTGTGCTAGTTGTGTAAATAAAGATCTAATTTATCGAGTTTGCTGTAGTTAGAAAATCCCTATTTATGATTGTATGTTGTATTTGATAAAATATCCATATAGGCTATGGGTGTCAAAAATAAAGACTGAAAGTATTTTTTATTAAAATACAAATACATCTAAATACGTATTTGACCATAACCCTGGCAGAGGTTGGTGCGGAGGAAGGAATGGGGTTTTGCATGAAGTTGTTCGAAATGTCCAGATGAATAAAATATAATTCAATTTTCGAGTGATAAATTACAATTACCGGTATCACTAAAAAAAACGACCATTTTTCAATCATAACTTTATTGTCTCTAATGTCCAGATGAATAAAATATAATTCAATTTTCGAGTGATAAATTACAATTACCGGTATCACTAAAAAAACCGACCATTTTTCAATCATAACTTTATTGTCTCTAATCCTAATTTTAAAAATTTTCAGGGGGGGGGGGGCACTTGCATGCTCATGCCTGCGGCATTCCATGTGGGGCGGGCCCCCCGAAATTTTTTTGGGCACGACGCCCCTGCTCAAAGCCAATTATTGAAATAAATTTGAACCATGTGTTACTGTTAATCATAATCTCGTTTGTGTCAACTGGACGTTAAACCCCATGTCTTAATGGGCCCCTTTAATTTCCCAGTGACCTCCCTTGGCCTTACCACATGGCGGTCATGTGATACGTGGTTGAGTATAGTTAACATGGCGGGAAGTTAAACTGGTAAAATTTCTTGTAAAGAGCAATCTAATATTGGATTATTGTTAGTAGAATTTTGATCAGACTGTAAAATGGCGAACGTAGCAACGAACACACTGATAAAGAGTGTATTTCTTCTGTTAAATTTCCTCATACACTATTCAGGTAAGACCAGAATTGCAGAATTAGAAAAGCGTTTGACAATTTAGCCATTTTTTTTAGTAGGCCTATAATTTTTGCATTTTGTTTATCTAGAGCGGCCGGTTAGGTCTGTTTGATAAGGCCAACTTCAAGTTTGGTCAAAGGTCACGAGATGTAAACAGGGCTAGTGCTAATCCCAACCCTAACCCAAGCCTCAATGCTTACCCTAACCTGCAATCTCGCCAACAATCGTATTCGTTACAATCACGTGCCCTTTCCTTGTCTTAAATTGAGCTTCCCTTAACATTAACTATTAACAAATAGATTTCATTTATCATTTGTTCCCGTACGGTTCGCACGCATTCTACTGATAATCCGAGTGTACGGTAAGTCAGGCCTAGATTTTTCTTGTATGCCAAATTGGATTCTGTTTAGACGTACCTACACAATACACGCCCATTTGATTCTTGAAACATAACATTTTGTGTGCAACAACCGGGTTAATGAACAAGACGGGGTCTTGGTTTGGGAATGTTTGCCCTGGGTCCTAAGCTGAGTTGGGTAAGGAGCGTGGCTTAATTTGGTTTCCAACTCAGGGGATATTTACCATCCTGTCAGTAGAATGCACGGTATCCTGTCAGTAGAATGCACGGTGTCCTGTCAGTATATCCCGATTTCGTACGATCCAAATTCAAACAGACGCATTTTCTTGCCACAAACAAGGCTTGAACTTGAAGGGAAATGTTTTGGACATCTGACTGGAAAGTCCCTAAGAACTCCCTTGGACAAAACTGAGATCGAATCGGCGACCTGCATGTTTAGTGAGCCAATGCCAAGCTATAATATTTGAACTCTAAATCTTACATGGTTAATTTTAATGTATTGTGTATTTCAGTTGACGGGAAGAAATGTTTTACGTGTTCCTCACTGTATGACAATCGATGTCGCGACCCTTTTACATCTGTCAGTGAATTTATTGTTAACTGTCCACGTGGGAGCGAATGTAGAAAGCTGATTATTGGAAACGAAAGTACGTATTGGCCAATTGGGGACCAGGAAAGTAGGAATGAAATAGGATTTAGTGTCCTTCTGTTCTGCCCCGACGGCAGATTATTCTAACACAGCAATGCTAGTTTAAACTAAGAAATAGATATATCACGCGTGTACTTAGTTGGAGTTTTAAATTGTTGATTTAACACAAATTTTGCCCGGACAGCGGGGCTACGACCTACTCGTATTTCGAATTCCAACTGTCAAGGGATCTTTTACGTGCACTCCAATGTGTACATTGGACCTTGGTTTTTCATACCTTCCGAACGACTAGCCACTATCCTTGTTAGGCCACCCGTCCTACACCCACTGATAAGGGAAAATTCCGGGGTACTTTCTCGACCAACCCCCGGGATCGAACACCGAACCTCTAGGTGAGTCAACGCCTAAATTACTCATTGGGTCACCGCGGCTTGACGTGGTTTGTTTTTTTTTATAATTTTATAAAAATGTTATTTTGAATGTGATATATTTATTTCTTTCCTTGCAGTTCGTCGAAACTGTTCAAATGATGGCGCCCAACCTCAAGAATCCAGCTCTGAAAAATTGGCAGAAGTTTGTTTTCAGCAACTTTTAAAGATCACGGATACCATTCCGTTCGTTGGAACCAAAACAGAAACGCGCTTAGTAACCGTCTGCAACTGTGAACGTGCATTATGTAATTTAAGTACAAATTTAATCTCGCCGCCATTTTACTGCCATACTTGCCTGGTTTTCATATTAATATTTATTATTTATTACTGAGCTAAAATAAATAGATTCACTCTCAGTGATATTGTTCCATTTATCAATCGGAAATCTATCAAGATCCATTTACACCTGGGACAGTTCCTACGGGATTTTCTAGCCTGGTGCAGAACTGATCGCCTGGTAACAGCGTCTAGTCGTTTGTAAGGGACAAAAAAAAAACCCATGGTTTCGTGTCGACATTGGTGTGCACTTAAAAGAAGCCTTGGCAGATGAATAGGCGGTATCGTCGGTGTGAGGACAATTTCAACCACATGCGTCTTCGTTAACCATATTGGGGGGTTGGATGGCCGAATGGTGAGCGCCTGCGCGTTGTATCATAAGGTCTATCATTGAGTCAACTGGCGTGGTTTCGATTCCTCGGTTGTACGTGGCAAGGAGTAGGGTCGCTTGTCCAACGTCGTGGTTTTTCTCCGGGTCCTCCGGTTTCCCCCCACTGCTAAAGATCGCTACACGCAAACTAATTGTTGAAATAAAATTGAACCATGTGTTAATCTCGAAATGACCTAGTTTGGGTCGAGTGTACGTTAAACCTCATTTCATTTCATTGCGGCTTTAAATTAATTTGATCGTTATAAGGATGCCATAAATGTGAATGAAAACTGATACGGCCCTCGGTGTACACACCTTATTTTTCATAAGAGGGGATGGGGGATCACGGTGGTTAAGTGGGTAAGACGATGGCTCGCGAGCCTAGAGGTCGGGTGTTCGATCCCTGCATTGGCCGAGAAAGTTCATCTAGATTTTCCGACGTGGTTTTCCCTTGTCAGTGATGGGACGAACAACCGAGGTCCCGTGTACACGTAAAAGATCCCTTGACAGTTGTAATTCGATATAAGAGTAGGCAAAAAATTTCCCTCATAGCACACTGTATGGCGTATGCCCATCTTCATTAGCCCAGTTCTGAGTAGGACGTTAAACCCCATTTCAGTGGCGGAGGTCCGGGCAAGGGACAGCTGTACGTCTAGTCGCTCAGATGGTACGATAAATACCGAGGTCACGTGTACACCTTGGCACGCACATCAAGGAACACTTGATTGTTGGAATTCAGTGTCTGCCCGGGCAAAAATCCCCTCGTATTCACGTCTTCATATCCCAACACCCCCCCCCCCCCCACCCCATGAGAACAAGTAAACGCCCCTAAGGTTCACAAGAAAATAATTAGAAAAAATCAATAGCAATCATAATATGTCACGAACTTGATGTCAACTTGAATACAACTGCGAGATAACGATCGACGAACAACTATAATAGACAATACGATCTATGTTCTACGGGGGCGATCAGTGTTATAACCGGTATTTTGTTGACATTCATGGTGGGGTGAGATTAAAGTGTGGATGGCGCGGCGTCCTATATTAGGAATCGCCCTCCCTAATAAAAATCACAGCTTCAAGATCTACTACTGATAAACACCGCTGCCCTGGCAAAATTCTCCACTAAAGCCAACTCCCTGGCTTTTCACAAGTAACCTTTGAAATGTCAATTACTCAGAAATACTGATGCGATTAATTGACTGAGCTATGGAACTAGCAGACAATTATGAGTCATGATCTTATCTCCTGATTCTCTTAGCAATATTATCGATCACCGGCAAATTAATCATCATTTATTACGCATGGGTGGACCACACCCCTAATAATACCAACGTTACATTAGTTTGACATCAAATAAAACATTTGTCTAGCCATTATAGACGGTAGGTCAGTGGTTTATAAAAGACCATCTCAACAAATATGTTTTAGGTACGATTTATGAAGTACGGTATGGAGACGATGAAGCTAAATTTCAAGGGAAATAACTCCAGCCTCTAGAGCTTTCATGTGGATTTAGACTACTAATTCTTTCCCCATTGACGTCAACGTTAAATCCGTGTCATTTCATGGTCCATGACATCGCTTGTCCAACCGCGCCGGCTTTCTACGGGTCCTCCCACTCCTAAAGATCCCTACGCGTAAGCGATTATTGAAATAAAATTAAACCATATGTTAGTCCCGAAATGACCTAGTTTGTGTCCAGTGGATGTTAAACCCATTTCTCTGTTTTTCATGGCCCATCCCGTGACAATTTTTTGAATATTTGGATGATCGCAATCTTCATAACAACACAGAGTCCAATATCTCAAAATCCTTGCCGGATTTACCTATTGGCTGGGCAGACTGAGAGGTAGGGTCCCAAGATCTAGAGGCCCTCTGACAGTGCCCGATTGAAAACTTTAAGATTAAACTGAAAACTCATTTATTTTGCACACTGAAGGAACCATAATATTCAACTGATGACATACTTATTATTTTTAACTTGCAACTGTATTCTATCTTATTTTGTGTGTAATTATAGTGTTCTTCCTATATTCTACTTGTATAATGTATAGGTTTTGGATTTTTGGGAGTTTGGGAGTGACTTCCCAAACTTCCCACTTCCCACTATTGCATTCCAAATGATTTTGAATTTATCCTGATATTACATGTATATATGTCTTTGTAGCTTAGGAGGGACCTATGGAAGATTAGTTTTTTTTTTGTTTTTTTGCAAACTAAATACGTTGCCCCATTTAATAAAGTTTTTATTATTATTATTAGTATTATTGACTGGGCAGTGCTTAACAGGCTGAAACCTATAGTGACAAGATCAAGGGGATCTGACAGACTGAAACCTAGGGTCCAAAGATCTAGGGGGGAATCTGTCAGTGTTAAACATCTATGATCATCCTCGGATTTACTCAATTGTGTTTAAAACACCCTAGCATATTCATCTAGTCGTGAGGGTTGGGGATTGGGAGGAACTCGTATGTGGAATATTGTTTCTACTCCAGGTCTATGGCAGTCTTGGGTTCGCTCCTGGGTGCTTTCCCCTTGTCAAGATTGTAGGACGAAGGGCTCCCTGACAAGCAACCATGTCTAGTTGTTCACAAGGAACTGGGATAATGAAGACGGGCATACGCCATACAGTGTGCTATGAGGGAAATTTTGCCTGTACAGTGGCACTACGGCCTACTCTTATATCAAATTCCAACTGTCAAGGGATCTTTTATGTGCACGCCAATGTGTACATGGTACCTCGGTTTTTCGTCCCAGGCCCTCCGTCCTGCATCATTGATAAGGAGGAACCACGCCGGAAAATATGGATGAACTTTCTCGGCCAATGCAGGGATCGAACACCCAACCTCCAGGCTAGAGAGCCAGCGTCTTACCAACCTAGCCATCGTGACCCCTTATTGGAATAAGAATTAAAACCTCAGTACCGGTATAATTATTATTTATTACTGAAATATTAGTTTTGAGGTATTAACCGATGTTTTATGTTAGGTAACGTCCATTTTCTCATGTTGGTTACCACGGTTACTAGAACATCCAGGACATGAATGTAGAGTTTCATGTATAAATAAATCACAGTCCAAACAAAATATCTTTAAACAAACGGGACATTTATAAACCTGAAATATACACAATAATATCTTTAAACAGACTGGACATTTATAAACCTGAAATATACACAATAATATCTTTAAACAAACAGGACATACATGTAGTGAAATTTGCGTCGATGGAAACACTAAAGTTATTCAATTGAGAAATTTTGAACTGGCAAATGGCACAGCAACTATAATAGGTTGATATTTGTACAAAGTTTCATGAAGATATCTTGAATAGTTCAAGGAGATATGCCATGGAATAAAAATTGTAAATAAAAAAAATATAAAAAAATGAAATCCGCAGGTGGACTTTCAGCTCTTCAACAGGGATGCAAACAGATGATTCTTTTGATCAACTAATTAAATTATCTGGCTAAAATGAGCCAGTTTCAAGATAAAATAAGTTTCTTTCAAGTCAATATGAGTCATTTTCAAGTCAATATGAGCCATTATTTTTAAGTTAAAATGAGTTATTTTTAAGTTAAAATGGGTTATTTTTAAGTTAAAATGGGTTATTTTCAAGATAAAATGAGTTATTTTTAAGTTAAAATGAGTCATTTTCAAGAAAAAATGAGTCATTTTCAAGAAAAAATGAGTCATTTTCAAGAAAAAATGAGTCATTTTCAAGATAAAATGAGTCATTTTCAAGATAAAATGAATTATTTTTAAGTTAAAATAAGTTATTTTTAAGTTAAAATTGGTTATTTTTAAGTTATAATGAGTCATTTTCGAGAAATAATCAGAGATTTTACTGGTCAAAGTTTAATATTCTAGCAATATTCACAGATAGTTTATGAAAATAAATTGTCTTGTACACACAATTCTTCTGTCACCAATCTTACTTGAAACATTATAATCAGTGGTAGGCTATGTACATGTATGTGTTAAGTAGGAACTTATATGCAACTAAGCTGAATGGTCAAATTCTCGGGATTGGTTTCCCTAACAGTACCAATAAGAAGACTCAACATCCTGTGTCTACCAAAAAACAAATCAATTGTTTCCATGGAAACACAAAAATGATAAAATTTCTAATTATCTAATTAGCAAAAGGAACAACTACTACAATAGGTTGAAATGTATAACAAGTTAAAACACACAAGTCTTAACCCATGGGGGATCACGTGGCTAAGTGGGTAAGATGCTGGCTCGCTAGCCTGGAGGTCGGGTGTTCGATCCCTGCATTGGCCGAGAAGGTTCATCCTGATTTTCCAGTGTGGTTTCCCCTTGTCAGTGATGCAGGACGGAGGGCCTGACAAGGACAGCTGTCTAGTCGTTCGGATGGTACAAAAAACCGAGGTCCGGTGTACAAATTGGCGTGCACGTAAAAGATCCCCTGGCAGTTGGAATTCGATATAAGAGTAGGCCGTAGCGCCGCTGCCCTGGCAAAATTTCCCTCATAGCACACTGTATGGCGTATGCCCGTCTTTATTAGCCCAGTTTAGGAGCAAAACAGTAGGACGTTAACCCCCATTTCATTTCATTTTATTTTCTTAACCCATGAGTTTATAACACACAGATCTTAACAGGTTGTAACACATAAGTTTTAACAATTTATAACACATAAGTTATAACAATTTATAACACATAAGTCTTTATAACACATAAGTTATAACAATTTATAACACATAAGTTATAACACATTATTTACTTACATTAATGTCCTTTAAGTGAAGTAAACAAGAAAAACAATGTCTGAAAATAAAATAAAACAAATCTGACCTCATCGTAATTATATAAAACACAAAACAATATGAAACACAGGGTTTGGTACACATCTAACACAATGTTTCAACAATTATTAATTTATTGTTTTCAAGGATTTTATAATCATATATTAACACGGTGAACAAATTTTCTATTTTGATTTGCTTTTTATCAAATTTTATTTGTTTTTTTTTTATCATAAATCTCTCCACACACCATTGATAAGATTTCACCTGTGTATATTCCGGACATGTCCGATGCTATTTTCCAAACATCCTAAATTGTCCAACCAGGAATATGCCCAATCGGACATCAAGACATGGTGAATAATATTCAAAATTCCACACACATAACCCTAATCTACCCAAACAACCTGGCTGCTGTGGAAATAAATTTTGCCTGCCTCTATTCGATGGTCTTACTAGGAACGGTGTTGTCTATTAGGAACAGTGGTATATTATCTAATAGTATTTGTCATTTGACCAAATTCTCTATTTCACCAATTTCTCTACACAGCAAGGAATTTTCGCAAAATTTCAACATTTGAGTACAAATGAAAACCCTGAGGAACTGGATGTGTGCGTTGAACAACACCACGGATAGAAAATAATAAATAAATGTTGAATCATGAATAGAAATATGTCAACATTTTCTTTCTCTGTTGGCATGGATGGACAGGTGTGTGGGTGGGTCGAGATCTATATAAGGGGTTATTCGTTTGAATGCAATATTGTCTGCGATATCACCTCGGTGGAAGCGGACGTAAAACACAACTAACAACAAACAAGTAGTGAATGCAATAGTTGAAACTTTGAGTTCGTTGAAAGTATAAAAGTACTTACAAGTTATCTGAATCGTGTAAAGTGGCTAGAGTTGTCTCAATAAAATTATCAAGAGGAAAAAGATGATGATATGAACGAGCTAGATGAGGGGCTGATACTAACGTTAAACCTGAAATAGATGATAATATTACATAAGGTGTTGATGGGGTTTAACCACAACTCGACACAAACTAGGTCATTGCGGGACTAACATATGGTTCAATTTTATTTCAATAGCTCACTTGCGCGCAGGGGTCTTTAGCAGTGGGAGAAAAACGGAGGATCTAGAGAAAACCCATGAGGATGGACAGGCGACCCTACTCCTTGTCACGTACAACCGGGGAATCAAAACCACGCCAGTTGACTCAATGACAGATCTTATGATACAACGTGTACACGCTAACCATTCGGCTATCCAACCCCCCATTTATAAAGCCACTCACCACCAGCGGAGTGTTTTCAATACCTTTAAAAACTACAATTTTGTGAACGGTGGCACTGTTTTGTGTTGACAAGTTTTGGACTGATATTCCTCTAAACGATTCAACTTTCACAATATCGTAGTTTACAAGGGTTTTAATAATCCCTGAAATGACGTTCTGAGTCTTTAATTCCGCTAGATTAAAACTTACCACAGGCCTTACATTCTACCGGTAATTCACAGTATTTACTTTTACACTGAGGACAGAAATATCCTGTTGTATTAAAACCTTCACAATTCTTACTGTCTAGATGGCTGAAATAAATATGATATACAACATACAGGGGAAGCTTGATTGTCAATCTGTGTCCAGTGGACATTAACCCGTTAAGTGTGTAGTTTTTAAAACGTTAACTACCCCCTATTGTGTAAATAATTTGACGAAAAATGTCATTTTTGGACCTTTTTATTCCTGAATACAAATGATAGTAGTCTGAAACCATATTAAAACTAATGGTAAATAGAGTTGTCTCCCTTCAATTAGATTTCCTCGACCAGACGTAATAAAACGTCTTACACATGCTGCGATTGTATGTTCGAAGAATAGGTTGGGGAAAATACTTCCAAGGCGTTATATTACGCCCTACACACGGTGAGTGGCAGTTGTCCAGGACGTTATATAACGTCCTACGCATTTAACGGGTTAAGTGCAATTCCTCTGTGCCCCCACCCCACCCTCATGAAAAACTGACACTAGAATTTGAGCCTAATACAACTGGCATCAGATAATAAATAAAGAAAAAGAGATATCTTCTTTGATTGGCATTTAGTAATTGAACATATTAACACAAGGTACAATTTTATGGATACACAATTACTGAGTTTAATACTAAGCGACATTTCGACGAGGATACACTCGTCTTTATCAAGCAAATGATATCTAGCAAAAGATTTCCATTAAAAAACGACATGTACACAGATACAGGTGTCCGGTACTTACCACCTACACATTGGTGATAAATACATGACGTACATCGATACACTTGTCTCAGCTCTCAGTAGTTACCACATTAATGGTAAACACATGACATACATACATCGATACACTTGTCTCAGCTGTCGGTACTTACCACGTACATGGTAAATACACATACACAAATACACTTGACTCAGCTGTCGGTACTTACCACATACACATTGATGGTCTTTCTTCTTTATTAACAAGATTTAATGTATGATGAGGAAAACCTGCAAAGTTAAAGATAAACAAAATCCACAGTTAATACAAACTAGCTGATTTCTTGACTAACATAAGGCACAATTATATTGTATTCATCTTTAGCAGTTGCAGGAAATTCGAGTACCCAGAGAAAACCCACGGGGTTCGACAGGGCGACCCTACTCCTTGTTAAGTACAACCAGGGAATAGAAACCACACCAGTTAATTCAATGACAGGATTTATGATACAGCACGCATGTGCTAACCATTCGGCCATCCAACCCCCCCACTTATCATTAGCTTGGCAGGTGTAGAAAAGTAGGACGTTAAACCCCATTTCATTTATTCCTAATGATTCAAAACACATGTATTAGATAGCCACAAAACCCTGTTATCCTTGAAAACCAGGATCGAGCCCCGGACCTCTTGGTTAGTGAACCAGCGCCTTACCCACTGAGCCACCGTAACTCCACCCTACCATGAGATAGTCAGGATTGGTGAAATGATCTACCACAACAATACAATATAAATAACTCACCCATTCGTATAAGAGATGAAGATGTGTTTGCCTGTAGAAGATAAAAAAACATACTGATTCAGACATTGGTGTTCTGAGTGAAGAATAAATGATGATATGTCAAGATGATATTTAAAGGTGAGTAAACTCTCTTTAGTTATATAAACTGTCTTTAGTAAAGTAAAGTAAACTATCTTTAGTAAAGTAAAGTAAACTAACTTTAGTAAAGTAAAGTATCTCTAGTAAACTATCTTGAGTAAAGTAAAGTAAACTATCTTTAGTAAAGTAAACTATCTTTAGTAAAGTAAAGTAAACTATCTTTAGTAAAGTAAAGTAAACTATCTTTAGTAAAACTATCTTTAGTAAAGTAAACTATCTTTAGTAAAGTAAACTATCTTTAACTGTTTTTAGTAAAGTAAAGTATGTTTAGTAAACTTACTGTAGCTGGAGGAGGTGAAAGATGTTGGTAGAGTAAATCTTTATAATGACTTTCATCTAATATAACATTATATTTACCTAGAAAACATACAAATAATAATTCTACAAACAATACAGGTTTGGGTGAAAGCTAGAGAAGTGATCATCTAGTGTTCATTGTTAACTGTCATCAACGGTTATTAATAACAGTAAGCAGCCATTTCACTTTAGTCCCGTTTCCCCTACTGACGTAAAAGTGATAACAGATACACAAGTGAATTTCTGCTCACTGATAATTCCTTCAAAGACCAAAAGTTGTTGTATTAGACTGTTATATAGCACAACCCGTGTTTCCTTTTGGTTTCGTTATTTCCGTTTCTTCAAATCTTCACAACGCATCTATCGTAGCAATGATCTCGGTGTTAAAATTATATTTGGAATGTGTTTAACCAGTTCTATCACAAATGTGATAATTACTGACACCAATATTGTCCTTTGAGTTGACAAGAATTTTAACTTTGTGTTTATCAAAGTAAGTCTGATTCTGATAATGGTGTAGGACCATATGTTTTATAATACTTACTTTTATATCTAAATTCCAACTATCAACTGGTGGATATTGGGTTGTTATCGAACAAAGCACCACTGACACGATAAACAGAGAATGAACATATGTCTTATAATACCAATAGTTACTCTTGTATCTAAATTCCAACTATTAAGGGTATTTTATGTGCAACCAATGTGTACACAGTTGGTCCATAGGTTGCTGTCCTTGCCAGGCCCTTCGTCATGCACCACTGACACGATAAATCGTAGCGGAAAATAACGAGGAACTTTCTCAGCCAACACCGAGAGCGAACCCGATAACTTACTGGGCCACGACTGATGACACTTACCCTGGGTCTGTTTACATATTTTCTTACAAACACAAACTTCAGCTGCTAGACCAATTATAGAACATCTTATATTATTCTCATTCATTGTCTACAACAAATAATACATGTATTTTCATTGGCTTAAATCATGATGTTTGTACTTGGGTTATTGATTCGTACACTAATTCCACTTCTGATTTCATCATTATTTGGGTTAAGTGTATTTTCATTGGTTTATTAAATCAGGATGTTTTCATTTACTAGCACACTAATTCCACTTCCAATTTCCTCATTACTGGGAGAGAGCCACAGTGGCTAAGTGAAGATAGCAGGTTCACTCCCAGTGTTGACCAAGAAAGTTCTTCGTAATTTTCCGGCGTGGTTCCGCTTGTCAGTGCTACAGGACGGAGTGCCTGACGAGTACAACTGTCTACCTGTATAATAGTATATATATATATATATATACCCTACCTGTATAGTAGTATCTATATCACCTGGATCACATGTTGTTAAACTACCGAATATGATCAATACTTCTCTACTAGCATGACTCGGCATATGTCTATAAATAGAAACACATCATCAATATCACATAATACTCGTTTTAATATTCTACTTTCAAATTGCGACCAGTAAATGCTTCTTGCAAGATATTACTCCCACCAATCTGGTTAAAACACAGATCCTATTACGTTTCGTTTCTATAGTTCAAAATTTCGTTTTACTTGTCTTTACTACACTTGGATCTGGAAGAGTTGTTATTTAACTCGTGTTCTGAATGGTGTCAGGGATAAGCCAATGAAACAGTCTGTTACGGCGAGCTTTAGGTGTGTTTTGCACGGAACTGTGGGTAATCCACTAGTAACATCAATGCTGATTGGTTAATCAAATGTCTGACATCATAGGTCATAAGTCAGTCTTTTGACCCCTGACGTGACATATGGATATAACTTGTCAGATTTTCATGTAGTGTAGGCCATCGAAAGTATAAAAAAACGAAACAAAATATAGATGTGTATTTTAATGAGATTGTACTCCCACGCGCCTGAAGTTAAAGCAACAGCTCGCCATGTAAGAAATTCAGTTTTCTCAATCAATTTGAGTTCATCTTGGATTAAGCCGTGATATATTGTCCAGTTAATATAAATAAACATCAGTGACTTACACAGGCTATCTCATAGTCAGGGTTTGTAGTACACTTACACAGGATATCTCATGGAAAATACTCTTTAACAGTTCATGATGCATATTTATGGAATGAGCTTCCTCAACAGATGCGCACGACACCTCTATTTTCAAGTTTTAAGACAACATTAAAGACACATCTGTTAACCAAATATTTGTGCAAGAAAAATAGATAAACTCACTGTGAAGCGCTTAGAAATGACTAGCAGACATAATTTAGCGCTATATAAGACAATTTATTATTATTATTATGATATTATTATAGTAAACTTACTTGAGTGTTTGAAGGGCCAAGTCGAGTGAATTCTGTAGTGATGGTTCACCTTGACATTTTCTGTCCTTTAAACTTTGTAATGCGTTAATATGGCGACGAGGGTTACCTGTAATCAGATATGGAGAAATATAAATCGATGGAATCTTAAAGACAGTAAGTTGAATCTAATAGAGAGAGAGAGAGAGAGAGAGAGAGAGAGAGAGAGAGAGAGAGAGAGAGAGAGCTTAAAGTCCACTCAACACAAACTAGGTCATTTTGGGACTAACATATGGTTTAATTTTATTTCAATAATTCGCTTGCACATAGGGGTCTTTAGCAGTGGGAGGAAACCGAAGTACCGGGAGAAAACCCACGAGGTTGGACAGGCAAACCTACTCATCACATACAACCGGGGAATCGAAACCACGCCAGTTGACACAATGTCAGACCTTATGATAAAGCGTGCACATGCGAACCATTCGTTCATCCAACCCCACTACATGCAAACAAAAAGACAAACCTGTGGCAAGACACAAACTAAACATAAATTGCATCAAAATATCATCAAGTGAAATTTTTCACGTGCATGCTTTACCAATGTGTACACAGAATCTCGGTTTTCAATTCCATTCGAACAACTATACCTTGTCCCTAGGGCCTCTGTCCTGCATGACTGGCAAGGGGGGACCTCGCCGGAAAATTACAATGCACTTTCTTGGCTAATACTGGAAGCGAACTTGTGACCTCCAGGTTAGCGAGCCAAAATCTTACTCATTGAGCCACAGCAGCTCCATATAAAACCAAGAGGTCATCTTTCCAACCCAGTTCAGATCATTTATCTATCTTTACCTCCAAGTTCTGTGATTTTTTCAGCTCTCTTATTTCTAGTAATTAATATACCCAGCTGACTGATTGGATTCTGGTCAAAATATTCCTCTATAAAATGTTCCAGTAACTAAAGAAATAAAAATAAACTTAGGATTAACAATAAGATACTGAGTAAATACAAACATAGTTTGTCAGGCAATGAAACTTCCACCCACAGCAGCTAAATCCTACGAATTTCAAAACAATCTGATGATAAATTAGTCTGTAGAGTGTTCACAAGAAATTGTGGATGGTAGCCGTACAGACAGACGGATGGGATGGCAATATACAACCACATTTCCAGGTCATTTCGGGACTAACATATGGTTCAATTGTATTTCAATAATTCGCTTGCGCGTAGGAGTCTGCAACAGTGGGATGTAACCAGAGTACCAGGAGAAAACCCACAAGGGGATAGACGTTATTATTTAAAACACACACGTTAGATCATTCCGCCATCAACCTTCGTAAGATGAAAGATGTAAGATTCGGTATTTATCAACCTACCTTTACAGTTGAATAAAGTCGAGTGTGGTTTGTATATCAATTAACCTGGTGAATGGGTACTGATTTATCAACCTACCTTAACAGTTGAATAAAGTCGAGTGTGGTTTGTATATCAATTAACCTGGTGAATGGGTACTGATTTATCAACCTACCTTTACAGTTGAATAAAGTCAAGTGTGGTTTGTATATCAATTAACCTGGTGAATGGGTACTGATTTATCAACCTACCTTTACAGTTGAATAAAGTCGAGTGTGGTTTGTATATCAATTAACCTGGTGAATGGGTACTGATTTATCAACCTACCTTTACAGTTGAATAAAGTCGAGTTGGTTTTAAATCCTGGTCGTTCATTACGTCGGACATATCAACTATCAGATACAAATGTCGCATCTAAAACAAACCAGAAAATAAAATCAACATTTAATTATAAATAAAACATGAAACAATTGGTATCGGTTGCTATAACAACCAGTCAGGTGTGGATATTGTGAGTGCGAATCTCCGTTGGTATCAAATATGCAGCTACATTTTTTTTCTTTTTTCAGTGAAAATCCTGTCATTGGAGAAAACAATGGTGGCTCCGGGAGTAACACACTGCCTCACTCACTAGCACGTCGTAGGGTCGATTCTGGTGTTGGAGATTTTCCAACCTCATTTCCAATTTTCAGGAGGGAAGGATTTTAAAACCAAGGTCATTCTACACCATTTGCAGTATGTTAAAGATCCCCCTGTATTGCCACTGCCTTGGCTAAATGGCAGCATATTAGAGATTTTCTGTAGGGCACTGCCTGCATGATGAAATGAAATGAAATGGGGTTTAGCATCCTACTGTTCTGCTCCGAACTGGGCTAATAAGACGGGCATACGTCATACAGTGTGCTATGAGGGAAATTTTTGCCCGGACAGCTGCACTATCGCCTACTCTTACATTGTGTAGCGAATTCCAACTGCCAAGGGATCTTTGATTGAAATTTTCAACATATTCTATTCTATTTACGTAATCTATTTTCTTTACTATTATTGCGAAAACAGTCAACTCTTTATCTAATCTGAAATTTTCAACATATTCTATTCTATTTACGGAATCTATTTTTTTTACTATTATTGCGAAAACAGTCAACTCTTTATCTAATCTGAAATTTTCAACATATTCTATTCTATTTACGTAATCTATTTTCTTTACTATTATTGCGAAAACAGTCAACTCTTTGTCTAATCAGAAATTTTCAACATATTCTATTCTATTTACGTAATCTATTTTTTTTACTATTATTGCGAAAACAGTCAACTCTTTATCTAATCAGAAATTTTCAACATATTCTATTCTATTTACGTAATCTATTTTTTTTACTATTATTGCGAAAACAGTCAACTCTTTATCTAATCTCCCTTAATGCCTCTTTAATTATTAATTTCCTATATTTATATCGTGATCATACCATCCCAAGTCATATTGTGATCATACCATCCCAAGTTATATTGTGATCATACCATCCCAAGTTATATTGTGATCATACCATCCCAAGTTATATTGTGATCATACCATCCCAAGTCATATTGTGATCATACCATCCCAAGTCATATTGTGATCATACCATCCCAAGTCATATTGTGATCGTACCATCCCAAGTCATATTGTGATCATACCATCCCAAGTCATATTGTGATCGTACCATCCCAAGTCATATTGTGATCGTACCATCCCAAGTCATATTGTGATCATACCATCCCAAGTCATATTGTGATCATACCATCCCAAGTCATATTGTGATCATACCATCCCAAGTCATATTGTGATCATACCATCCCAAGTCATATTGTGATCAAACCATCCCAAGTCATATTGTGATCATACCATCCCAAGTCATATTGTGATCATACCATCCCAAGTCATATTGTGATCATACCATCCCAAGTCATATTGTGATCATACCATCCCAAGTCATATTGTGATCATACCATCCCAAGTCATATTGTGATCATACCATCCCAAGTCATATTGTGATCATACCATCCCAAGTCTAATGTTCCCAATCTTCTCCAGCATTTTCCTACGCTTGGCTTTCTGTATGATGTCATCAATACTGGCTTGAAGAGATCCGGACTCATCTTCGTGTATGGCTTCCCTGTAATAAAAATAAAGTTCAACTATAACCACTTGGTTTGTCTACGATATCACCTATGGTGGAAGTGGAAGTAAAACTTTAGGAACGAACGAACGAACCACTTGGCAGGGTGAAGAAATAAATGTGGGCATATAAAAAAGCCTTTACCCAGTGATACTTTTAATGGGTAGATTATCCAGGGCTATTTTAATTACTAATTACATGTAATTGTATCTAAATAACATTTTGTATTTATATATTTCGTCATGAATGCTCTTTGTTATCTCATTTTATTATGTAATATGTATTTGTAAAGTGTTTATGAAATGAAATGGGTTTTAACATTCTACATCCATTTCATAATCAACTTGGCTAATGAAGATGTATGTATGTATGTCATACAGAGTATGCTACAAGTATGAGGGAAATTTACCCTGGACAGTTCTTTTACATGCACGCCACCTCTGGACCTCACTTTTTTCTCATCTGAATGACTAGAAACCGTCCTTGCCCGGCCCTTCGCCCTACACCACTGACAAGGGGAAATCCCCCTCACTTTTTAAACCAACACCTCCTGCCCCTGGATAGTGAATTAGTGCCTTACTCACTGAGCCACCGCAGCTTTCTACACGCTTTAACTAAACTTATTAGTCAGTAGCCTAAATTGAGATTTGTTGGAGAGTTTGCTTTTTTTAATTTAGTTTTTGGTCAACTCATTTATTTTATGGTCTCGACTTTAGTTTTTAAGTTCATTTTGTAATGTTTGCCTTGTGTTTCAGACTAAAATCCACCGGTTTTAGAAAGATGATATTTACCATGTTTTCTCATATTCTGTTTCCCACCGATAACCTTTTTCGTCCTCCATTTTCAGGTTCTGTTACAATTAGAAATGTTGTAAATAAAACTTTAGATTGATTTTATTCGGCCCGATTTTATCAGCAAAGTGTGTGTGGATTTTTCCGACTTTGGGCTGCACAATACTGGATCTTCAATGAGTTACTTTCTATTTTTCACTCGGCAACCGGCTGCAGATTTCACTCGGCCAACTTCGGTTACTCCTCTACACCAAACCATGTTTCCAAACAGAGTTATCTTTCCGTGACCCGCAAATTATATTTTTAACAATGAGTTGAATTCTATAGGAGGTGTTGGAACTCCCGCAAACAGTGCCGGTGGTGCAAGTAAGTTATAAAAATAAATACAACTGACAAAAGGTTAAGGACCACCTTAAAGTAAAACAAGACAGGAATATTTGGTCATTTAAGTAATAGATATTTTTTAATTGAGGATTTCGAAAAATATAGGAGTCCATTAGATGATCTGGTCAGGAAAAGGATGAGGATTACAGACAAGAGTAGTGATAACCATCGTCATGTGTATCCCTCTCTCACTTGGAGAGAGAGAGAAATGGGGTTTAACGTCCACTCGACTAACATATGGTTCAATTTTATTTCCATAATTCGCTTGCGCGTAGGGATCTTTAGCTGTGGGAGGAAACCGGAGGACCCGGAGGAAACCCACGAGGTTGGACAGGCGACCCTACTCCTTGTCACGTACAACCGGGGATTCGAAACCACGCCAGTTGACTCAATGACAGACTTTATGATACAGCGCGCGCACGCTAACCATTCAGCCATCCAACCCCCCCCTCTCTCACTTGGATCACGTCCTCAACACCTCTTGTTTGATTAGTACCATGGTACCAAAGGAACCTGACACTATTCTTCTTGGAATGGCAAGACTTATGCTGGAAGTATTTTGTGATGGATATTACATGGTTCCAAATAAAAACCATCTGAGTTTATTGTTGATGGTTAAATATCAAACAGACCTCATTTTAAACGGTGGTGCTTATCTTTTTGACACACATAATTTTTACCGTACTACTGCTCAAAAGCTTTTAATTTTGTTTTAAAATTCTGTTAATTCGTTGATAAATCACGTTATTCTATTCTCTAGTCATGGTAGTCAGTTAAACTTGAAACCTGTATGTTTAAGTTGTAACCACTGTAAAAAGGATGGCTGTAGAAGAATCATGTTCGTTCTGAATCTAAATGTAAAACCTATTCCCCCCCCCCTCCCCAGCCGCTGAACAACAGAAATGAGCAAAGTGAACCTGGGCACTAAACAATATTCAGAATACAAGTTATTTAGAAGTTTATTTTGTTTGTGGCTTGATAAATACAAGAGAACACTTTTCAAGACGTCGTCAGAAATGAACTGTGAAAAAACTTGTATTTAATACACCGGTATATTAGTCATGGTTTATTCAATACAGTTACTAAATGCAGCTTTAACAAACTACATTTTTTAATGGTTTATTTACAGAGAAGAAATGGGAAACATTACCAGACTGCCAGACACGCCCCATTGATAACAAAGGTCTGCCTGCTGCCGCTGTACACAAAACACCCAACCCAGAACCAATCGATGCCACAAAATTGCCGCTAGCAGAAAAAATTCGACGACTTTCAATGTTTTTACGAAGTGAAAAAAAAGTAATCAATGAAATTATGGTGAGGTTTTATTTATTAAAGATACATTATGGGAGATGGAGATAAGATAACGAGTTAGCAGCTCTCACTATATGTCAGTCAAATTGGTCCACTATGAACCGAAAACTAAGCGGATGAAAGTTTCGCCTAGCCTCGAAACTAATAGTCTCGATTGTCTATTGTTGTGATTTAATTATCAATGAGCGATAGCAGCATATAGAATTGTAATCCAGTCGACATCGAAGGCTAGCCTTGACATCGGGAGTTTATTATGGTCTGGATAAGTTAATTAATGTCTAATTAATAATTTAGATAAGATTTCAGGCCTAAAGAAAGACCTGAAATTGACAGGTTTAGCTCTTGCATAATGCATGTTTAATATTTTTCACAATAATCTCATTAAAAACACAGATTCTGCTTTATTTTTATTTTTATTTTTATTCAAGCATGTATTACGTATAAAATTCTTTTATTTGCCCATCTACATAAGACCAGTTGGGCGAGTTTGGGTGGTCGAAGCGTTAATGCGTCATTACCCGCTTGTACGTGACAAGGAGTAGGGTCGTCTGTTCAACCTTGTGCGTTTTCTCCATGTCCTCAGTGTTTCCTTCCACTGCTAAAGACCCCTAATGAAATAAAATGAACTATATGTTAGTCCCGAAATGACCTAGTGTCGAGTGAACAATAAAGCCCATTTTCCTCTCTTTCCCATTAAATCCTATTTTATTTCATTTTAGTTGTTTGAGAATTCTCTGATGAGTTGTAAAGTTGGAATTAGACCAGATTTTTTGATGTGGTGTGTTCCTAGCCAGAGCTATCGGCATCAACAAGAAAGAAATCAAACTGTCATGTTTCAAGAAGGCGGTGGAACTTTATCGTACCCTTCCTGTCACTGAAATTTTGAACCAGGATGATATGACCCCAAAAGTTATCAAGGAGAAACTGGAGAATTTTAACTCGACCGTTGCTAAGATGGAGAAAGAAACAATTGCAGAGTTACCCCCACCATCTATTTTGAAACAGATCCAAGATATTCTAACCAATCCTAAATATGCTTCAACCAATTCAGTCAGCAAAATGGAGTTGGCGGCCTCTGTGGCTAAATGTCGAGTCCGTTGTCGATATGATGTAGAGAGTTGTAAAGCTGAATCAGGGAAAGTTTATCATAAGGGAATGTACTTTATTGACAACATACTACAAGGTGCAGGTGTTTCAGTTTCCAAAAAAACTGCTAAGTCATTGTGTTATAATATGGTGGTTGAACGACTGACCACCATGAATGTTGAACATGGCAACATCTTAGATGGTGTCGAACAGTCTGTCATAACAGAAGCAGAAGCACAGGTTCAGAGCACTTTGGTAAAGGCAGCACCAAATCCTAGGGCATTTGATCTCCGTGAACAGTTTGTCAAAATGAACGAACTTAGCAGTGCCACGCATCCTGCATCCATCATTACTGTCTTGGATGGAATTTTCAACGATGTAAAATTGACGCCCATTTGTCTGTACCGTCGTAGCATGAACACAGAAATAGAAAAGGAGAAAATTTTCTGTAACCTCTATCTAGCTGGTCATCTCATCATGATTGGTGAAGCAGAGAACCGAACAGATGCCCAAGCAGACGCTTACTCTAAAGCCCGATAAGTTTCACGAACTGTGACCCCGAGTTCATCCTCCCCCAACACAGTAAACTTCAACCACACGACCAAGCAGCAACAGATGTTATCGACTTTCGTGTCAAGGGCAACTGCATTTTGGAAGATAACTGTTCGAATCTTCATCGCTTACAATGGACCCGAAAACCTATATCAACACTACCAGCCAAGGATATCGTTGTCTTTGAGGACGTCAGTTGGATAGTAGATCGTAAAGTTCAAGGTTTCTATATTTTACAACATTCATGTTTTGTCAACAATATGTTGTTGGAATGGGAGTTTTTTGACAATGATGATCGTGTATTCAGGTAAGTTGCCTTAAGGCCTAGTCTGGTCTCCCGGCCATAATCTTAAGGCCTAGTCTTGTGTCTTCCGGTCTCAACTGTAAGGCTTAGTCTTGTATCTTCTGGCCTCAACTGTAAGGCCTAGTCTTGTGTCTCTTAAGACCTAGTCTTGAATCTCTTAAGACCTACTGTAGTCTTGCGTCTTCCGGCCTTAACTGTAAGACCTAGGCTGTGTTTCCTGGCCTTAGCCTTCAAGCCAGAATTTCATATTTTCTATGAAAGTCAAAACATAATTATTTCTATGTCTTTTGCTCAATAGGTTATCAACTCACTATTATACGACTATGGGCATTATTTCCCACCCTTAAAAATCATTGACACAGGAAATAATAACACAATTACCTCCCTTGTTTTCCTATTGCCTCCATGCATTAGCTATCTTCAAATGTTGGAATTCGAAAATGATAATTTTGCCAATTTCGCAGCTGGCAATAGTGAATTATAGGATTAATAGGATTATTCTTTAACAAGGTAGGACTGTGTATGGATACCATCTATTTTAAGGCTTTATTTTAATAAATTTTAAAAATATAACTTAACAAATATGAAATTGTAGCTTTAAGATCTAGTCTTGTCCCATTGATCAAAATTTTGAAATGTTCAGTTTGCTTGTTACTCTTCTTTTGTTTTTAGGGGTGGTTGAGTGGTCCAAGCTCATAAGATCTTTCATTGAGTCAAACCTCCTGGGTGTCAGTCCAAAAATGTTGGTTTGTTTTGTGTGAGTGTTAATCCCCATTTCTCTCTTTTTTTACTTTAAGATGTCAGATGAAGATACAGAAGGAAGATGTTGGAACCGAACCTGCAGTGTCTCTTAGTAAGATAGGCTCTAGAAATTTTGCAGCAGCTGATATCTTGTTTAAGCTCTACGAAACACAACCAGTCATAGAGGTAAGTTATTCTATTGAATACTTGAATTAGCTTTAGGGCTATGGATTCCTGAGCTAAATAGGGCCTACATTATATAAAGATAGGTTGCCAGGCAACTAAACATACGCCCACAGCAGCTAAATCGTCCGAGCGGTCGACAAGAGTTGTCGTATATTTGTTCTTTTGTAGGTAATTAGGGGGCATTTAATAGACAACTTCATACAGATGACATTATAATTTTCGTGTGGGCGTATAAAAACCAATTTAGCCAAGCATTGCATTTCTACACCCTTTCACTGAAGCAACGTTCCTGTCCCTTGAGCAGGGTTATCCTGTGACAACACCAGAAGATTGATATATGGGTGGGCTGGTCTAGTGGTCTAATGCATGCCCTTTAGATCATAAGATATGTCCTTGAATCAATTTGAGCCAAGCTTGTATGTGACAAGGAGTAGAATCTCATGTCCGGTATCGTGCATTTTTTTCCCGTTCCGTCAACATGCTGCCAATGGCTATACAAGGGACCTTTTTTCTTGTCCAGTCCATCTTGCCCTTGCAACAAGACGAAAAAAGGCTGGAAAAACCTGAGGAACTTCATTGGCCAGATTAAAAACAGATTCTTATCAATGAGCCAGTGTCCTACACACCGAGTCAGAACCCACCGAGCCAGCGGTTTACCCACAGAGGTGGGTCTTTACCCACTGAGACATTGTCTTACCAACTGAGCTGGTGGCTTAACCCCTGAGCCGATGGCTTATCCACAGAGCTGGCACCTCATGTACTGAGCCACTTTGGTTTTCGTTCTGCTCTTGTATTGCACATAAAAATGCCTTCCTGGCTAGGCACAGATTTGACCTTTAATTGATGAATGCCATTATTTAAAGTTAACCTAGATATCATGTCTTAGTAAATCGTTTTTCATTCCAGGTTTCTGCTTACACTAAACCTGATCAAGCGATAGAATCTGTCAGTTTTGATACGTTGCTTAAAGAAGCGGAGGTGTTGAAGAAAGCTGCCGAGGATGCAGGAGAAAACGTTACAGCTACTACAGCTGAGGGAACTGATTCAGAAACTGAGACCAGTGACACAGATGTTGAAATGAGGGAAGAAGTAACAGATTCACAGGCTAAGAAGAAATATCCTAGAAAACCACATTACCGTCATGCTGATAGATTTATTTTAAAAGCTGCCCAGGCACGACTAGACGAATTCATAAAAGTTAAAATGCTAAAAGATCTACTGTTTGGACCTGCTTTCCCTCATCATATCACACGCCAGATTAACGGCTTACTGTATAACCTCCCCGTTCCAGTTCGCTTTATAAATCATTCCACTAGAAATCAGATGTACACCATTGTAACGCAAAGTATGTCACCGATCAAAATTGTCGCATTTCTCAAAGCCAACGGTGGACAGTCTGGTCGCTTTCGTTTAGTCGACAAATCAGAACTTCCGACACATAAGGACATTTTACCAGAACTTAAAAGTAGGGAAATTTTAACTAAGATCAAATCCAAATTTTAGTAGAAATTTCAATTTTGATTGGCTAAGCACTAAAACCAATCAAATTGTTGGCTTTTTTTTGCTAATAAATATAAGTGCTAGTCTAATGTCTTGTCTCAATTACATCTTCAACAGTATGGTTTTGTTTCTAATTTAAAATCCAAATATTTGTCTAAAGTCTTTACCAGTTGTGTGGTTGAGTGGTCTGATGTATGCTTTAGATCATAAGGTCTGTCATTGATTCAAGTGCCATGGTTTGTTTTGAAGGTACTTCCAACCTTATTTGTCTTATTTTCGCCAGTCATGTTTGGCCGTTTTGACTGACTTGCAGTGAAATTGACCAACTGGAGAATACTAGTAGATCATAAGGTCTGTCTAAAGTTTAGACAAATATTTGGATTTTAAACTAGATTTATAAGGGGCATTGGCGCCATTGGGTAAGATTAGATAAGAGCTGACAGTTCTCGCTATAATAGTTCAACAATAAATAATAGAAACAGAAAATGCTGAAATTTCAGTCAGATTGCTTTGCTCTGAACCGAGATATAGGTGATTCAGTTTTAGGCTACAGAGCCAATTTTCTGAAAGGTAACCTTTTCTGTGGTTCAAGTATCTGATGTGAGAATCTGGGCCCTGTTTCTCGAAATCTTAACAGTGGGAATGCAGTCGACCCTACTCTTGGAAACGAAGCTAAGCCTCTTCACTAAATGACAGACCTTATTATCCAACACGAATGCATTATCATTTGACTCCACCCCCTCCCCTGCAGTGACACATGAATGTTGTGACCAATAACCACTTTCCTGTCTTAAGGCCTTTGAAAACAGTATTCCTCATTATTAATTTGTCCCAACTAATCATGGTTCATGAATGCGTGTTCTCGATATGTTGACACTTCTACGATGGTGGGTGACTACGAGTCATGAGTGAAATAATCTTATTTCGTTTAATCTGTTATACTAATATAGAGAAAATACAATTTACATTTTATGGATATAACTGTTACAACAAATAACACATCTACACAAATTTTTAAGTTGACCTCATTTCAATCAAAGTAAATACATGTACCCGTAAGTATTGTTTATATTCGCGTTACGTTTGGTAGTGGAACCGTGACACTGACATATTGTACATCGTTGACTTCAGGGTTAGGCTTGTTGTCTACCAAAGTTAGGTTAACATCTTCCACTACACTGCAGTAACATCATCAAGCTAACCTTTGCTAAAAGGTTAATGTTAATAACATCCACCAATTAGTCTATACACTAAACACAAGACCTGCAGCATTCAATCTCTGTGATCTGTAAATAATTAATAAAAAAACATATGAACTTACTTCAAATTTACACACTATAACTTATTACATAAACTTTATGTAGATAAGGAAAGTGAATTTTGAGATGCACTCCAATGACAAGTAGTTGATTTACATAAAAATTTACAAAAATAAGAACTGTTAATGAAAATAATAAACTGATTTACCTCAAGATAGATAATTGGAAATATTTTCTATACTTTTCTTCTGAAAAATGAAAGGGCGTAGTTTTATTATAAAACAAGGAACATGTACTACAAAAACATATAATTATTAATGTACCCCCTCGCCAACACGTACATTTGGAATTCATTTAATATAGTTAACTAAAAAAAATGTTAAAATCACAATTAATTATGATACCACAATTACAGGCTGGTAAAATCAACACAAAGTTCATACATTAGATTATAATAACCAGAATCGACTTTAAACTGATGTCTCTCACATATCAATGCCATAACTCTTGCAGTAATCATCAGATCTCGCTGAAAATCAATAGGCGTCTTGTCTCATGACCTTAAACACTGTGTATAAATTTAAAGTCAATTGGATTTTAACTTTAGCCTCTAGAGTGTTCACAAGATTTTTCAAAGTGATCAAGGGCCATAACTCTGGTAGTAATTATCGGATATCGCTGAAAATCATTAGGCTTCTTCGTCTCATGACCTTACACACTGTGTAACAATTTGGAGTCCATTGGATATTAACTTTAGCCTCTAGAGCGTTCACAAGATTTATCAAAGTGATCAAGGGCTATAACTCTGGCAGTAAATATCAGATATTAACTTTAGTCTCTAGAGCGTTCACAAGAAATTGTGGACGACGGACGTATAAAAATAAAAACAAAGTTTAAAAGAATCAACTTAATTAACAAAAACAATAATTAAACAATCAAAAACTAAACAGATAAATCAAATTCAAACGGAACAAATAAAGCAAAGAAAAGGAAAAAAGCAGTTCATTACCATTCTACATTAAAAAAATAAAGGAAATCAACTTGCGAAAAAAACTTTCATAAAATAAGAGTAAAGTAACACTAATGTTAATACTTTTTTAACGACACTACTTGGGCTCCCGGCACCCCTACACCCAAGCCTATCCACACCACAACAAAGGTCCATTTCATTGATTTTTTTCAATTTAATGGTCAAAGCCATCAAAAAAAAAAACCAACCCATTTAAAACACTGAGAAAATAATTTCAAATTCTACCTTTATAATCAAGAAATATAAACTTTAAATATGTAATATGTAATTCAGATCTAATTTTCCATCAAAATCAATGTAAATGGACCTTTGTTGACCAGATTAGCAAATTACATTGATACTAACTTCAGACTTTACAATTTTGTATAGAATTCGAACATTAAATGATCATGCGACCGAACCTCCAGCATGAGGTCCCTAACAATATCTATTTAAGAATAACAGAAACCATAAATTAAAGGCGTTTTTAGGACCTGAGCTTCGACCATATTAGATAGTAAAAGCTTAATTGATTCTATTAGTTAAGTATAATATTTGAAATTAGATCTATAATATATAATTATGATTTTAATAAATCTTAGCTGACAATAACGTGCGGATTTCATTCAGTTTTAAAATTGGTACTATATAGAGCCTAGCCAGTATAGCGATTCTGAAGGGAAAATACCGCTTATGACTCATGACGTCACTCAAATATGACAGAAAAGCACTTATTTTGGTGCCATCCCACGCATTGACTGGTATATAGAGCGTTTTGATCATTTGAAACTTTGAGTTTGACCTGAAACCCTATTAATTAATAAATAGGTAATATTAATAAAACAATACTACTAGGCCTATTTATTAGTATTTAGAATATATATCATATGTAGGCCTACATACACTGTCATACAGTGCCTTTATTTACAAGTTACATCTGATTTATTAACTGATTATCAGACTTATCCATTTGTGTGTATCTCATTGATCATTCTCAGGCTCAAGTTATACTCCTGACAAGTCCATGAGTCACGATACTGTGACCCCCTGTTGGTTGCTGTTGTACTTACTTGTAGTTAAACTGTCACTACTACAACTTAAGGGGTATAAATAAAATGCTTGAAATGAAGTCGGACTAGGTAGATATCTAGGCCTAATTATAATGTAGACTTGTTTTCATATCGATTACCCGACGCCAAGACCACTTCTACTGTACTAGCACTAATTTCAATGTAGGCTACTTAGTTAGTAGTCTTACCCCAAAAGTTAGAAAAGACTTCGTCAGCAAAAAAAATTATTTACAATCGGTACATCTATGATTAAGATTTGATTTATGCAGTTTTAGTCAAATACTAGCCTACTATAAAGTAACAAACTTCATTTACATTACCCAGGTCAGAAAATCTCCTCAGAAAATAAAAGACAACTGTTTAGTGTTTGTAGCCCAATAAATATAAGAAGCTGACGCCGTTAAAAACAGTGTTAGCCTAAACATCAGAATATTGCGCCAAAGGCAAACCAGTTAAAAATATAATTTGCGGGTCACGGAAAGATAATTCTGTTTGGAAACATGGTTTGGTGTGGAGGAGTAACCGAAGTTGGCCGAGTGAAATCTGCAGCCGGTTGCCGAGTGAAAAATAGAAAGTAACTCATTGAAGATCCAGTATTGTGCCTTTGGGCTCGACAAAGGTAATTGAGAGTTATCTCCCTTGAAATGAATTACTAAAATATGTTTTCGTACTAAATAAATATACATATCTAGGTATTGCATGTAGGTTTATTTTCAATTTGAATGAAGTAAGGAACATTGTAAATACTCGAATTTAAATATTTTCTTAAATACGAAACTGATGTCATTGCTTACTTTACTTCGTCCTTCATCAACTTCCGTTTTAAAGTTTTGAGAAACTTAACTATTTCATAATGCTGAAGATACTGCTTCGAGGAAATTTTGGGTAATTACAAATTATATATTTATGTAGCACTGGAATCAGACAAACTTTCTCTTTGTTTTAAAAGCAAAATTGGATGATGATAAGAATGTCATCTGTAGAAAGTCGCAATTTATTCGTTACACATGTCAAGCTCACATGTCTGTCTGTGACATTTCACTTTGACATTTTCATCATCTTTATTCATGAAGTCATTCTTATGCGTAATTTCGTGCTTCCGACTGAACTGTCAAATTCAGCGGTTTTCTTTAAATATTACCACATATTCTTTAAAATCCTTTCATATATGGTCCTACAGTTCCTTTCCTGTAGCTGCAATATTTGAATATGAAAATACCGCTCAACCCCACGTCTGGTCTAACTAAGGCTATTTTCAAATCCTTAGCAACTATTTTTCTGAGTCGACCGTGGGGAGTTTTTTTCCCCTTCCCTCAAAATTGAAAATCACTCTCCTTTACAAAGTCATGGGTTTATTATCATTTATGAAACCAGGAATGACCCCATTACTGATTACATGCAGTTATTGATCTTCAGAACCATTTCCAATACACAAAACTAATCACTCTCCTTAAATATCCGATCACTCTCCTCCTTAATTTCTAAATCACTCTACCTATCGAAACTGAGAGAGCTTTCTTAGGGGAGCAATTTTTTCGGCTCTCCTCTGAAATACAAACAACAACGACTGCTTTTTTATGACTCCTAAACTTGGTTGGAAATCTCATTTTGACACAAAAATTAGATTAAAAATGACAATTTTGCATAAAGTACGTCACCAACTGCATGAGAAAATGTGGTAGCCAAAATTTGTTGGGTTTTTTTGTTATATGGACGTTTGGTTCATAGTTAGGCCTATAGTTATTTAAATTTTTATTTTCGAATTTCAGACCCCTGTGTGAATATTGTGCCAAAAAATATGCAGAGAAATCAGTGAAAACAGTTAGCCATGATGGTCGACAACAAGCTGTGGTTTTATTTAATTCTCATAGAACTGGTTTTCGAAATTTACATAGCACATACTCTACGCAACCAAATACAAACACTGCCTTATTTAGAAGTCATGTGATCAATCTAGCAAGACTCGGTAGTTCAAGGTCATACCATACAATGACCTTTTACACAGGTTCGACCATTTTACGAAATCCAGCCCTTTACAATCGGGGAATTATTTTACAGACAGGAAGTTACCAACAGATGTCTAGTGTTGCTAGGTTACTCGGAGGTCTGGGACGATTTCTTAGGTTACGGTATTTAATATTCACAGGAGCAGTTGGTGGAGGAGTGGTTGTTAACAAGGTAAGGAAAAAAACATGAAGTTTGCAAGTAGAGATGGAATACATCGCTACAGGGACTCTTTTTTTCAAGTGCCACGGTGGCCCAGTGTTTAGGTGCTATCTCATTCACCAGGACAAGGAGGGGGGGGGGATAGCCGAATGGTTACTGCATGCGAGCTGTATCATAATGTCTGTCATTGAGTCAACTGGTGTGGTTTCCATTCCCCGGTTGTATGTGCAAGGAGTATGTTTGCCTGTCCAACCTCGTGGGTTTTCTCCGGGTTCTCCGGTTTCCTCCCACAGCTAAAGATCCCTATGCACAAGGGAATTATTGAAATAAAATTGAAAGATGTGTTGGTCTCTCTCTCTCTCTCTCTCACAGATTTTTCAGCATCTCTTGTACACGTCATTGGGATGCAGGTCAAAGAATACTTTCACAGTTGTAATATGACTAAAGAGTATACGCACATTGCCTGGCGTACATTGCCTATCATATGCACAAATTCATTAGCCTGGTTGGAGCAGAAAAGTAGGATGTTATATTCTATTTCATTTCAGCTCTATTTCGGGAGTATTTGCCAGTTTCGACTAGCAAACAGTGAAATTGAACAACCGGAAAAGATATCTTTTAGTCAAGTTACAAGACATAAAATTAGAATATGAAGGAATTTAGATTTAAAGGCTTTTTATATCTTATTCGGATAATGCTAATCATGGTCATATTCATTGAAATGAAAACGAAATATATGTCAAAATATGACAGACTGTCAAATATTTTGGTCTTGATCATTTGACTATATGCTGTCTGCACAGACTGCACGTTATCTACAAGGACTGTTAGTCCGGACAATATAGCGGCCATCATGTATGGTAATTCTTGTCTGGCTGTTCACATCCAAATCTCAATCAACCATTCTAGCAAAAACCATGTGTATCAACTTTTATGGTTTTGTCTGAACTACATTTCTTTTAAGTGACAAAACATCCATAACAAGTATTATCATACTATGTTAATAATTTTATATTTTTTTCTAGAAATTTGAAAGTTTAAAGGAATACCTGCCTGATATTTCGTGGATGAAGGATTATATACCAGAATATGATGCTTTAGAAAAACTGGCAGTTTCTATGAGAGATTATACGTACCGAGTTTCAGAACCAAAACGGGTAGGATTATTATTCATAAATAAAATAAGGGGTAAGGGGATGGCCGAATGGTTAGCATGAGCATGCTGTAGTATACGGTCTGTCATTGAGTGAACTGGTGTGGTTTCGAATCCCCGGTTGTACGTGACAAGGAGTAGGGTCGCCTGTCCAACCTCGTGGGTTTTTTCCGGTTCCTCCAGTTTCCTCCCACTGCTAAATACCCTTATGTGCAAGCGAATTATTGAAATAAAATTGAACCATATGTTAGTCTCGAAATGACATAGTCTCTCTCTCTCTCATTTACAATCTAATTAAAATAACAGGTATGATTATTTTTGATATACAATTCAATTAAGATAACATTATAATTTTGTAATGGATGAGTTTCGTTATGTAAATTGAATTTGATTGATCTATTCTGCTCGGGCTCACTATTAACAAGATGTCATCTTTTATTGCTAGTAGAGAAACCTAATGGGCTTAGTTTAAACTGATTAAATCCAATCCGCGATATTATCTAGCGTTTGTATTTTGATTTTGTTTACTTAAAGATACATTATGTGAGATTAGATAAAGAGCTGGCATGTAAAGGTAATTTGCTGAAAATTTCAGTCAGAATGATCCACGGTGAACTGAAAATTAATTCTAATTAATAATTTATATAACATTTCAAGCCTAAAGAAAGGCCTGCAATAGGCAGATTTAGCTCTTGCATAATGTACATGATCATTCTGAGTTCCGGTATTTAATTAGGGTGCATTAAACATACATTATGCAAGAGCTAAATCTGCCTATTGCAGTTCTTTCTTTAGGCCTGAAATGTTATATACATGTAAACTAATAATAAGACATTTATTAACCCGTTAAGTGCGTAGGTCGTTATAAAACGTCCTGGACAACTGCCATCACTGTGTGTAGGGCGTAATATAACACCTTGGAGGTATTTTCCCCAACCTATTCTTAGAACATAGTTCGTCACTTGAATTTCCCCACATTATATTATGTCCTGGACAACTGCCACTCACTGTGTGTAGGGCGTAATATAGCACCTTGGAGGTATTTTCCGCAGCCTATTCTTAGAACATAGTACAATGTTCTTCGTCACTTCGTCAAATTAATTACACAATAGCGGTAGTTAACATTTTAAAAACGTCACGCCTAACAGGTTAACAAAACAAGACCATAATCAACTCATGATGGCATCAGATACATGTACTCAAGATCACCAGTGCCCTGGTTACAATCAATGCACACATCTTATCAAAACTACAAACTGTGATAACTTGGCTCAGAATGAAGTAATTTTAATAAAATTTTCAATATTTCCATTTTACATTATCTATTTTTGAGCTGTTGTAGCAAGAATGTCCAGCTCTTTATCTAAATCTTACATAATGTATCTTTAAGCTGTGAGATATTTGATATTTAGCGAAAATTTAAATGACGCATCAAGCTTTAAAATACGGTGAACGATTAAAAGATAAAATTTGTGAAATATTTACAATTTATTGTATTCGTAGGAATGGTTGAAGAATAAAATGGATGGATTACGGGATAAAGCGGCTGGTTTACCAAGTCTAGAAGATGTTACGTCTGGAATACCTAGTCTAGAGGATATAAAGGCCAGATTACCCAGTATGGAAGAGTTATCTGATTACTTGAATAGTTTACCAGAAGGTGATTTGGGGTCCACGATGATGGAAGGTACTGACTTGGGTTTTATTCTTATTTATAAACCTATATCGGTAAATCTCTTTGATCTTTGGGATATATTCGAGGGGTGCTTTGAATGTATGTACAGGGGAATTTGGGGTTATTCTTCTGAAAGTTTTTCTTTAAACCTGTAACGGGTTATTCTTCCAGGGTAGGGGTTTTGTTTTCCATAAGAAAACATGATCTAAGGTTTTCTTACTGGAATTCTAGGATATTTTCATTTTGCGTACATGTAAACATAGACAGTTTATAAGCAAGATAAAGTCTTCGACTTCTGTTATGCTGGGGAAGGTAGACTTCAGAAAAAAACCTTGACAGAAATACCTCGGCCTGTCAGCCTTGGTTTTTCTTTTTCTCAGGTTATTTCTCAGGTCAGTCGGATGGTCTATTAAGTCAGTCGGATGGTCTATTAAGTCAGTCGGATGGTCTATTAAGTCAGTCGGATGGTTTAGGGTGTGCGCTTCAAGTGATGTGGTTACGATTCCCTCTTGTACGTGTCAAGGAGTAAGGTTGATTGTCCAACCTCCATTTTCCTCCAACTGCTAAAGACCCCAATGCGCAAGCCAATTATAGAAGTAAAAATTTAAACAAATGTTAGTCCCGTAATTACGTAGTTTGTTAACGTTAAACCCAGTTGCTCTCTCGATAAATGATTCATACCAAATATATCAGCTCAGATAACCTTTGACCATGAAAACATCTGCCACAAACAGACCTGGGCCCTGTTTCTCGAAATCTTAACTAAAGATAAAATCCAAATTTTAGTAGATACTTCAATTTTGATTGGCTAAGTACTAAAATCAATCTAATATCATCCAATCAAATTACTAAAATTTGGATTTTATCTTAGTTAAAATTTCGTGAAACAGACCTGTCGTTATTTCATTGGCATGATTTTGTTGTTCGCAGACAAGTGGTTTTGTTCTAGTATAATCAGGACACGTACAGGGGTCTTTTCCGTGGAAGGAAACCAATGATTCTCAACGAACTTTAATAATTTGCCAACAATGGTTTGAAATTAAACATTAAATACAGAAACTCCTGCTTAAACAACACAACTACATGCAGGCCTGGAAATAACGGTTTTAGATGTACCTGACAAAATGTCAGACACTAATGAAATAATACTTGACATTTTCATCTTAGTGCCGGACATGTATTAATAATATCAATAAAAAACACAAATCAGTGTCAGACAAAATGACAGGCACCAGAGGTTTTGTGCCTGAAAAAGCCTGAATCTGTGCCTGATATTGTCTGTTACAGGTGCCTTATTTCCAGGCTTGACTACATGATGCCTGAGTTGTAGTGTAGTAAACTTAAAAATTTAGGATCTTAGGGTACCAGAATACTAATTTTTCGTCAAATATTATATCACTATCTCTCAGCTAATTTTTCCTCAAATATTATATCACTGTCTCTCAGCTGATTGTTTGCTCTGTCTTGTTTTTGTTGTGCAGTTTTTGTGCCTGTAAAGTAAGCGAAACACTTAAGCCAAGTTTTTTTCTATTATATTATATTGTCAGGTGTGAGGCGGAATTCCCATCTTCATCAAATGGCAGCAGGTATAGTTACTATTTATAGAAACATGGAAAAAACCCAACTTATAGGTCACACTAAGGGTAATGCTGCTTATAAATCATTTCATATTCATGACGAGTAATTGTTCAAATCAATACAGCAGATGAATGATATTTTCTTGAAAATTATTTTGCTATTCAATGAATTGGGGTCTTACATAGGCATTTTGCCATTTTCAGGATCTTCTGTTTATTTATAGAGAAAAAATTATCTCTTTTAAAAAAATGAATAATATTTGGTTGAAATTATAATTGATGTTAGATATTTCTCTCCGTGCTGTATATAACAAATTATTCCACATCCTATATTTTGTGTTGGGTTTCATCCATGATTCCTTTGATGACCCTTGACCTTTGACCTTTGACCCCTCACACCTGACATCAACGTACCTGACTATAGTAATATTATAGTGTAGGTTACTAACATGTCTAGGAACAAAATTAGACGATGTTTGTATTTTTATACGCCCACATTTCAGTGTACAAATCCAAGTAGATAAAACAATGTTTTCTTGATATTGTATTCTGTTAAAGATACATTATGGGAGATTAGATAAAGAGCTGGCAGTTCTCACTATAATAGTTAAAAACTAGATAATGTCTCAATTATCAATTTTTGAATTAATCTTCAATGAGCATTGAGCAGCAGATCGGATTCTAATCAAGTAAATATCACAGGCTAGCGATGACATCGAAAGTTGATTATGGTCTGGATAAGTTAATTAATGTCTAATTGATAATTTAGATAACATTTCAGGCCTAAAGAAAGACCTGCAATAGGCAGATTTAGCCCTTGCATAATGTATGTTTAATTATTGTATATCAACTTATTTTAATAACAGATAAATCATTATGACTTAGTCAAAATTGGTCCCATTAAACCTTCTGTAATTGGCTTGTGTTACCTGTTTCGTTTGATTTGAAGACCTCACATTTCAGTGTGGTTATATTCTCTCATCACCCTGTCCAATGTTTAATATTTTCTATTATTAGATGCTGGTATTAGTACCGTACAAAGTATAACAGCAGTAGAAGGTACAGCCTCGTCTTCATCCGAGGATAAAACAGTATGTATATAATAACTCAATATTATCCACAAAACAAAACATACTCCACAGGTCGGTGCAGAAATAATGATCCACGAACGACAGAACTAATAGAGCAGTAAACTTCTGTAATGCAGCTCAATATATAATCCTATATATCTGAAAATCGGAAACGTCCCAATGACCTGGTCTTGTCTCGGAGTTCACAAAGCATTCTCAGACTTCAGTTAAGAATTAACTCAACTTTCAATCACTGTTTATGAGAAATATCTTTGATCCAGAAACTCAGAACTTTGCACATAGTTTCTTGCTGATGTATTTGATACATTAAAACAACAAAAGTTGTATAAATGGCTATATTTTAGTTAAAATAAGGCAAACAATTTTAAGTAAATTCTTAACTTAAGTCTGAGAATGTTTTGTGAAACTGGAGCCTGGTCTTTACTCTGGTTGGTACTGGCAGGATATTTTTAATGGTGAAATAATTTTTTTTGAAAACCAGGCAAAACAGAAAGAAAGAATTGAACAGATACAAGAAGAAATGATCGAGATACAGGTGAGTTATCTTCCTTGGTTCTAAAACAACATTCAGCCATCTTGGTTGTAAAACAACCAGCAGCCATCTTGGTTGTAAAACAACAGGCAGCCATCTTGGTTGTAAAACAGCAGGCAGCCATCTTTGTTCTAAAACAACCAGCAGCCATCTTTGTTGTAAAACAACAAGCAGCCATCTTGGTTCTAAAATAGCAGGCAGCTACCTTGGTTCTAAAACAACCAGCAGCCATCTTGGTTCTAAAACAACAGGCAGCCATCTTGTTTGTAAAACAGGGGGGTTGGATGGCCGAATGGTTAGCATGTGCGCACTGCGCTGTATCATACGGTCTGTCATTGAGTCAACTGGCGGGGTTTCGATTCCCAGGTTGTACGTGACAAGGACTAGGGTCGCCTGTCCAACCTCGTGGGTTTTCTCCGTGTCCTCCGGTTTCCTCCCACTGCTAAAGACCCCTACGCGCAAGCGAATTATTGAAATAAAAAAAATGAAAAAATAAACCATGTTTTAGTCCCGAAATGACCTAGTTTGTGTCAAGTGGACGTTAAACCCCATTTCTCTCTTGGTTCTAAAATAGCAGGCAGCCATCTTGGCTCACTATGCAATCCAGCCTATCCAGCCTAGCTTCCCCTTCTCAATAGTTCGGAGCCACAGTGGCTCAGTGAGTAAGACACTGGCTCGCTATTTTGTTCATCATTATTTACTCTTGTCAGTGGTGCAAGACAAGACAGCTGTCTACCTCTCTCTCTTTCCCTCTTAACAGAGTTATTGTCCTTGATTATATCATGGAATCTTGTCAATGCATCAAGGAGATTATACAGCATGAAATTTCTGCTTTGTATTTACGATTCACAATGCGACAACATTGATGGACTACTCAGGGTGTATGTTTCGTTGCCTGGCAACCTACTTTTAATTTAATTTATATATATTAGACCCATTATCCTATCTTTTTATTGATGATAAATTTATATATTTTAGATCCGTTATCAGAAGGAAATCGAGAGATTAGAGAAAGATAATCGTGAATTACGTAAATCTATCATGTTAAAAGATAAAAAAGATGGTAAAAGACGAGTCATGAAGGTTTGTTGGACTGTGAACATAAATTAACTAAGTTTTTTAGCATATCAAGATATTTCAGACTCAATTCTCATGGGTGCTGTGAGCCCACATTGCCAAAAAACGCCTCTGACCCTCTAACAAAAATACTTTTTAAATTTTATTTTATGATGTCACGATGCATCACACTCAATTCTCATTTATGCTGTGAGCCCACATTGCAAATTAACATATTAACAAGTATACTGTATTTTTTAAAATTTAGGATGTCAAGATTTTTTAGACTCGATTCTCATTTGTGCTGTGAGTCTACATTGGAAAAAATGCCTACGGTCCCCTAATAAATTTAGATTAGTTTATCAGTTTTAGTAATTCCATTTTGCATCGCAAAAATTCTATTCTGCATCGCAAAGGGAAAAACACAGCATTTTGTTTATTAGAGTAAATATTTTTTTTTCTTTTTTGACCTATGCCATAGATCACCTGGGAATGCTGTGGTCCTAGACATTTACCCCACCCCTCCCTCTTTTCATGTATTCGGTCACAGGAAGTATGTCCAATTGCAAGGACGTAAATCCAAGGTCCTGTGTAGAAATTGGAGTGAATGCATGTATCATAACTATGGAAATACAGAACGTATACGGCATTAATTTCATAATTACGTGTTTTTTTCAGAAGTCGCCAATAGATATGTATTCGGAAGTTTTAGACGAACTAGCGGAATATGATTCTAGTTACAATACACAAGATAATCTACCCAGGGTAAGTTTGGATCTTATCTGTCTTGCATCTATTCAAACATTGATTCAGTCACGTGATCTTATGTGTCTCGCATCTATTGAAACATTAATTCAATCCCATCTTATCTTAGGTGTCTCGCATCTATTGAAACATTGATTCAATCCCATGATCTTAGGTGTCTCGCATCTATTGAAACATTAATTCAATCCCATCTTATCTTAGGTGTCTCGCATCTATTGAAACATTAGTTCAATCCCATGATCTTAGGTGTCTCGCATCTATTGAAACATTAGTTCAATCCCATGATCTTAGGTGTCTCGCATCTATTGAAACATTAATTCAATCCCATGATCTTAGGTGTCTCGCATCTATTGAAACATTAATTCAATCCCATGATCTTAGGTGTCTCGCATCTATTGAAACATTAGTTCAATCCCATGATCTTAGGTGTCGAGCATCTATTGAAACATTAATTCAATCCCATGATCTTAGGTGTCGTGCATCTATTGAAACATTAATTCAATCTGTGATCTTATGTGCCTCGCCTCTATTGAAACATTAATTCAATCCCATCATCGTAGGGGGGCTTGGATGGGCGAATTATCTGTCATTAAGTTAACTGGCATGGTTTCGATTCCCCGGTCGTACGTGACAAGGAGTAGGGTCGCTTGTCCAACCTCGTGGGATTTCTCCAGGTCTCCCAGATTCCTCCCACTGCTAAAGACCCCTACGGCCTACACGCCTGTATTATTGAAATAAGATTGAATCATGTGTTGGTCCCAAAATGACCTAGTTTGTGTCGAGTGGATGTTCAACCCCATTTCTCTCCCACACCCACACACTCCACCCCCACTCTCTCTCTCTCCCACACCCACACACTCCACCCCCACTCTCTCTCTACCTCCCTCCTATATTACAAGATCTGTGTAACATTGCAGACAAGGCTGTAAAGTCACATATCATAACCACCCCCTCTCTTCCCTCTCCCCATCCTTCCACTTCTCCCCCTTCCCCCTCCCCACCAGCATCTGTTCACTAGGTTTGACTGTTGTCTCCTGACTTCCAATATCTGTGTTTTGTCTTTATGAGTTTCAGCTTAAGTTATTGTTACGTGTGTTGCGTTCGTTACCTACAGGGCTCAAATTAGGGTGAATTGTTAAGGAGGCAGACTTGGGGTAGGGTTTTTCTACCCAGAAACATTTTTAACTTTAGATACTGTAGTTTTTGTGTGGAGATTTTGATCTGCTGTTGTCGGTCGTATTATTTATATATAATATGATATTTTTGTAGGTTGTTGTAGTAGGAGATCAAAGTGCTGGAAAAACAAGTGTTTTAGAAATGATCGCCCAGGCCAGAATATTTCCTAGGTAAATAGTTATATATCTGTTACCAAGAGTGTCATGTACAGGGCATGGTATGCTTACTCTTTAAGAAACTAAGTGACGAAAAACCAAGGACATGTGTATACATTGGCGTGCACGTTAAAGATCCCTTGGCAGTTGGAATTTGATATAAGAGTAGGTCGTAGTGCCCCTGCCTGGGCGAAATTTCACTCATAGCACACTGTATAGCGTATGCCCGTCTTCATTAGCCCAGTTCGGAGCAGAACAGTAGGACGTTTAACCCCATATTTCCAACCAAACATCTAACATACATAAAATGCCACAACACATAAACACACAACATAGTAATACTAATATCTCTATGACAGAATGGTTTTTTGGTTTGTTGGGTTTTAATATGAAGATTAGTTGACAGAGACAGTGCTGTCCAGGCCAAATTCTCCCTCTTGCATCGGAATGAAAATGACCATATTGTGTTGACCAAACATTAAATTCTTTTCATTCCATTTGCTTTATGCATGACATTGTATTGATTTAATGTCCAAATTGATTTAAATATTATTAATTGTAATTTGACCTTTGACCTGTTTATTTTAGGGGATCTGGTGAAATGATGACAAGGTCACCAGTGAAAGTTACGTTAAGCGAAGGACCGTATCATGTGGCTCAGTTTAAAGATAGTTCCCGTGAATTTGATCTGACTAAGGAATCAGATGTTAGTATTAGTTGATGTCAAACAAACCTGGACATAACGCATCAATCACAGACACAACATATATTATTAGGGTGACCCATGTACTCACAGAAATACAGTCCACCGCTGATAGTTCGAGACTACCACTGAAGCGTGCACATTCGCCGTGCCGAGACCAACTTTCTGACAGTATGATACTATAAATAGCCATGGCACATGCAATTCTCTACAAATCTATCAACTATTACAGCCGTAAAAAAATTATTGTTGACGATTTTAAATAGCAGTAAAATTAAGCTTCTTGGTTATTACAGCAGATTTAGAAATTACGTTCGTTTCATTTTTTAAATCGCTTTATCATTAACTGTACCGTTAAGAGCGGCATCTTTTGGTTTAGTACAAATAATATCTCTGAATCACTCGGGTTAGACAGGAACATGATACTAGCAGTAGTTTCATTTTACTTTTACAAGCTTCTTAAAACGATTGTTGAGCTACCTAACGTGCTTATTTCTAAATTCAATTTCTTGTTCTAGCTTTCTGTTATGTTTCGTAAAAAAGTAGTCTTGATTATCCCGACCTGTCAATCAGACGTAGAATGGTCGATAGACTGGTTAAGCGAGACTAATTTCAAAACAAGGGCACGTAACCTATCTTTTACTCAAAAGTGTCTGGATGTTATGGACGACTCTTGGAACCAGTTTTCAGTCTATTATTTATACATGATTAATGGTCATAGCTTATTAAGTACAACATGATCGTTTATTTAGTGACTATAATTGTGTGAAACTGATTTGAGGCTTGGCATATATATAAATATTGTGGCGTAATTGTCGAGAAAAAAGGGGAGATATTTATTTATGGTGGGTCACCCTAATATTATAATAAATATGTTGTATGATAATTTGTGTCTGACCAGGCCTGTAACAAGTGCCTCCTTCTGTCCAGGTTTATTTATATACATTATGTGATAATTTGTAATCAATCTAATTAAAATGTGGTGGTGGAATGTCGTGTCAGGGGTCATACAAGCTTCTTTTGACCCCATGACATCGGAATTTGAAATAAGAGTAGGCCGTAGCGCATGTAAAATATCCCTCATAGCACATTATATGTCGTATTTCTGTCATCATTAGCCTAGTTTAGGAGCAGAACAGTAGGATGTTAAACCCCATTTCATTTCATTTCACCTAGTTTCTGTCGAGTGGACGTTAAACCCCTCCGGTTTCCTTCCTCTGCTAAAGACCACAACGTGGAAGCGAATTATTGAAATTAAAATGAACCATGTGTTAGTCTCAGGAATAACCTAGATTCTGCCGAGTGGAAGTTAAACCCCTCCGGTTTCTCTTTCTCTCAATTTGGTGTAAATATGAAATCTTGAATGACCTATAGAGAATTACGATATTAATCAACATCTATCACCATTTTGTAGTTAGCGGCTTTAAGACGGGAAGTTGAACTCAGAATGAAATCAAGCGTTCGTAAAGGTCAAACAGTCAGCACAGAGGTCAGTGAATAATATTTTTAAATACTTGTAAATTAGACACTTATTAGCAAAATTAATCAGTCAGGTTTAAACTTGACACAAGTACGAATTAGATGATTTTGGTGATTTTAAATGATTTTTATGAATTTTTATACAAAGATTTGATATTAAACAAATGTGAAATAAATTAGCGCTAGATACACAAGATTAAATGAAACATATAGATTTATTATGTATATTTACAGTGTATAATTGTAGAGTTTGTTATATGTCATGTATATTATGTATATTTCTAGTCTATATCTATGTATATTTATATATATTATATGTAATGTATAATTGTAGAGTGTGTTATATGTAATGTATAATTGTAGTGTGTTATACATATATGTAATGTATATATTATGTATATTTACAGTGTATATCTATGTATATTTACAGTGTATATCTATGTATATTTACAGTGTATATCTATGTATATTTACAGTGTATATCTATGTATATTTACAGTGTATATTATGTATATTTACAGTGTATATCCATGTCTGTAAAAGGACCAGGATTACAGAGAATGGTTTTAGTTGATTTACCTGGAATTATATCGGTAGGTTTAATATTATTCTAATTCCAGGGTAGGGGTAGGATTGAGAGGGAGGTCTTTACAGTTGATTTACCACTAATCTCAGGGATGGGGTTTGTAGGCGTGGGGGGGGGGGGGGTTGGAGGGGGATCTGAATTATATTGATAGGGTTACTATTCTAATATCATCAGTGTTAGCTAGCTAGATCATCTGGTAATAAAAGGGTTAGGGGTCTTTACACTTGATTTACCTGGAATTATAGCTACTTTATTATTACCTGTATATGAATCTGAGTGTTAGCTAGCTAGATCATCTGGTAATAGAAGGGGTTGGGTGTTTGAGTGTTCTAACATGTGCTTCGGATCATAAGATCTATTGTTCAGTCAAGTGGCATCCAATTAAAGAGCGAAATTAAAATTAAGTTTTAGAAAATTGAAATTTGTACAAGCTACTATTTGAATGAATAGTTTATTTTTTTCTTTTTTTACGCATTTAAAACATTTTCTTTTCTCGCATTTCTGAATACTAACGTCACCAAACCTCCGCACACCAAACCTCTGCTCACCAAACCTCCGCACACCAAACCTCTGCTCACCAAACCTCTGCACACCAAACCTATGCTCACCAAACCTCTGCACACCAATGCAAAGTCTATTGGAACTGTCTTTGTGATATGTAGTATTTGTGTTATTATCTTGTAGACCCAGACGATAAACATGGCACCAGATACAAAGGAATCTATCCGAAGAATGGCATCAAGTTATATGGAGAATCCTAATGCTATTATACTGTGTATTCAAGGTTATTATTTATTTTAATACACTCTCATTTAATATTAACGGGGGTTGGGTTGTATAGTGGTCTAAGACGTGTCATTTGGATCATAAAGTCTTGTCATTGAGTCATGTGGCATGGTTTCGATTCCCTGGTTGTACGTGACAAGGAGTAGGGTCACCTGTCCAACCTCGTGGGTTTTCTCCGGTTTCCTCCCATTGTCAAGACCCCTATGCTCAAGCTCATTATTAAAACAGAATTGAACCATTTTTTAGTCATGAAATTTGTTAGTCGTGAAATACCCTAGTTTGTGTCAAATGTACGTTTAACCCTCTATATCATCTCGGCATACATCTATAGGCGTATGCCTATGCCCGTCTTCATTAGCCCAGTCGGAATAGAACAGTAGGGCGTTTAACCCCATTTCATTTCATTTTTCATATTTTATATATATGTGGATCGTTAGATGCTGTGAGCGTATGTTTCGTTGCCCGGCAACTTATTTTTAATATTTTATTTATAGATGGATCGTTGGATGCTGAAAGAAGTAATGTGACAGATTTAGCTTCCATGATGGATCCACAGGGCAAACGGACTATATTTGTTTTAACTAAAGTGGATCTGGCCGAGAGTAATCTTTATAATCCTGATAGGGTAAGTTTCTCTAGACATTGCACTACGGATCACAGATCTGTCATCTATGCAAGTTGCGACTCTGATCACATGATTATATTCGATTAAACGATCAAAATGTCTGTAATTACGTCAAGTGTCGTGGTTTCAACCCCAAGCATATACATGACTAGATTTGGGCTCGCCAGTCCAACCTTATGGATACAGGAATTATAAAACGTTTTTGTTTCTATTCAGATTAAATCTATATTAGAAGGAAGACTGTTTCCGATGAAAGCTCTCGGATATTTCGCTGTTGTTACGGGTAAAGGTAAGACAAACTTTAATATGATTTTTACTGAAACAAGCGTGCCAAGTTTGATGTTGATCATACTTGAATTAGCTGAGCTTTAGGCCTTTTTGGAAGATCTTCATCCCCAGTAACAAGAAGAAGAATAAATTGAGTAGCAGATAGTCCAAGTTCCTGGTCCAATAATTGGTGTATTTTGAAAGGCTTCTCCCAATCCCCCGCCTCCCTCGCGACTAGAGGTAGACGAAGCTGTGTTTTAAACACAATTGAACAAAATCAAGGATGATGACAGTTGTTTAAGACTACAGCGTGTGTAAGAAAAGCTTCTGGCACTGTCATAAATATTTATACACCTTGACTGACAGTGTCATACATATTATACACCCTGGCTTCAGCCTGCCAGACCTATAGGTAAATCCAGAACTGGTAAAGATTTTATTAAGGATCTGTTTGTTGTGTGTTTGTAGGTAATTCGAATGACAGTATTACCACTATTAAAGATTATGAAGATAAGTTTTTTCGGCAATCCAAACTTTTTAAGTAAGTTTTACAAATATGCTATCTATTTAAAACACTGGTACATACTGTTGTATCTTGTTATCTTGTCTATATTAATTGCCCTACACAATTGTTGCTGTACTTGCTTGATAATTAGTTATTCTTATTCCATTAATAAGAGCGGGTTGGAGTGGCCCAAGGTTTAACGCATGTGCTTTAGATCATAAGGTCTGTCATTGAGTCTAATGGCGTGGTTTCAATTCCCAGTTTGTACCTGACAATGAGTAGCTAGGGTCGCCTTTGCAATAAAATTTAACCTTATGTTTTCCCAAATTGGGGATCACGGTCGCTAAGAGGGTAAGACGCTGTTTGGCGTATGCCCGTCTTCATCAGCACAGTTCGGAGCAGAACAGTAGGACGTTAAACCCCATTTCATTTCATTTCATTTTCCCAAATTACTCTCTTAGTTTGTGTGGAGTGAACCGTCTCTCATGGTTGTTTATATCTATCTAGGGAAGGTGTATTGAAACCATCACAGATGACCACACAGAATCTAAGTATGGCCGTGTCTCAAGTCTTCTGGAAAATGGTGAAAGAAACAGTTGAACAACAAACAGATGCATTTAAAGGTTGATTTTTACATTTTTTATATTTTACTTCTTTCATGTTAGACAAAAAAAAACCTGACCAACCAACCCTATAAATTGGTCTTAGCATTGTTTTTCTGCTGCGAAATTTTTTGGGGAGGCGCCAAATAACCATAAACACAGGTATTAATTTGGACTGGCTTTATATATTTTTTGAAAAATGATAGTGGACTATGTAATTATGATTTATAGCCTAGGAATCTATAAGTGGGGAGGGGGGGGATAGCCGTTCTAGTTGTCTCTCATGAAGCTACTAGTTTCGTTCTACGCACTGTTCCCTTTATAAAGTTATAGTAGACCGGAGAAATTCCGTTTCATCAGCATCGCTGATTCCATAATTATGTGTGAACAGAAAGTCGGCTAGAGAATTGATGTTATAAAAATGCTTTTTTTGCATTAAAGAGGCATTATGTAGGACCTAATTCTTTTTAATGCAGATCTTTCGTTGGGCCTCAAATTGTTATATAAATCATTAATTAGACATTTATTAACATGACAATACCATAATCAACCCTCTAGATCATTGGATGGTTTTGATTTTCAAGAGGTTTTAAACACGATTGCCAGTTAATAATTTAATCTAAAAATGGATAATCAAGACTTTGTTTATTATCTAACAATTGTAGCAATGGTAGAATGAAGTATCTATTTTTTAACTATTATAGCGAGAACTGTCAGCTTTTTATCTAAATCTTACATAGTGTATCTTTAAGTTCCCAAACCTTATTATATTTTATAGCAACAAGATTTAATCTAGAAACAGAATGGAAGAATACATATCCTACTTTACGAGAGTTAGATAGAGTGAGTAGATCATGCTTATTTATCATTTTAACATTTTGTCATTATCTTCTTGGATTAATAAGCTTGGAGATAAGGGCACCTGTTACAAATTATCACACAACACAACACATACATACAAGTCTGGAGATCGGACACCTGTCACAGATAATGTCTATAACACAACGTATATATTATAATAAATATATTGTATGATAATTTGTGTATGATAAAAGCTGTGACAGGCACCTTATTACTAGACTTGTATATATATATATGTTGTGTAATCATTTATACTTGACATAGTCTGTAACAGGTGCCCTATATCCAGGCTTCTTTATGTTACTATATGAAATAATGAGCCACAGAGGGTCTGGTAAGGCAAACCATATAGTCGTTCGAGTGGTGCATTCCATATTTTCATTACCCTCTTGGATGTTACTATGAAATAATGAGTCACAAGGAAAGTAAAAGTGTATTGTCGCTCGAGGTGTATTGTATACCAATGGCAAGCTAAAGATCACCAGTTACAAATTGAAATAAGACAAGGCTGTAGTGCCACTACCTGGTCAAAATTTCCCTCATAGCACACTATATGTTTTGTAAAATAAATATTAGCGCTAGAAAGAACTAATAGCCAATCGAATATTACAGATATTTATGGTTTGTTACTTAGTTTAAGTGTCTTGTGGGGGATGGGGGCTGTATGGCCAAATGGGTGGCACATGCGTGCTGTATCATAAGGTCTGCCATTGAGTCAAATGGCGTGGTTTCGATTCCCTGGTTTCTACGTGGCAAGGAGTAGGGTCACCTGTCTAACCTCATGGGTTTTCTCCGGCAAGCAAATTATATGTTAGTCCCGAAATGACCTAGTTTGTGTTGAGTGGACGTTAAACCTCATTTCTCTCTCTCTCTCTGTAAATGCTCCCATTACCTATAAAAGAGTTACCTCACCTTTGCCGAAAACAGTATTAAGATGATACATGCTACCTGTGGGAAACATTGGATAAGTGAGGACGAACCCTATTAATATTAGGCTATTGTTTTATCTTACAGGATGAATTATTTGAGAAAGCTCGAGGTGAAATATTAGATGAAGTTATAAATTTAAGCCAAGTTACACCAAAACAATGGTAAGATCTTTCCCAGAACACCTAATACCACACCCTTCCCAGAACACCTAATACCACATCCTTCCTAGAACACCTGATACCATATCCTTCCTAGAACACCTGATACCACATCCTTCCTAGAACACCTAATACCACATCCTTCCTAGAACACCTAATACCACATCCTTCCCAGGTCACCTGATACCACATCCTTCCAAGAACACCTAATACCACATCCTTTCTAGAACACCCGATACCACATCCTTCCTAGAGCACCTAATACCACATCCTTCCTAGAACACCTAATACCACATCCCTCCCAGAACATCTGATACCACATCCTTCCTAGAACACCTAATACCACATCCTTCCTAGAACACCTAATACCACATCCCTCCCAGAACACCTAATATCACATCCTTCCTAGAACACCAAATACCACATCCTTCCTAGAACACCTAATACCACATCCTTCCTAGAACACCGAATGATTAATTCTCTTGTGATTTGATAGGGTGGATGATATTGATCACTTGAATTTCTTGTTCCCATATTCGTTTTAAGTAGGGACAGGTTTCATTCAAACACAGACAAGGTGACTTTCTAGAACACCTAATATCACATCTTATTCAAGGAGTTTCAAGCTAATTAATGTATGGCAAGATTCAAACAAAAGGTGGGGAAGGGTTTGTAATATTGATTACAGTAATTGTGGGGAGGGAGGGTTTGTTATATCTATTACAGTAATTGAGGTATTAATGTATTTTCAGGGAAGATGCATTTTATCGTAAGTTATGGGAGAAGAATGCCACGTTTGTTATAGAGAATATTTATCTACCAGCAGCTCAGTCTATGAACACAGGGTTAGCTAGTTTTATATCTTACACCCTGAACACAGGGTTAGCTAGTTTTATATCTTACACCCTGAACACAGGGTTAGCTAGTTTTATATTCACATCAAAATAGAAATTAAGCATAATTAAACATCATTTTAAAAGATTCCCCTTTAAACGTCATTCTGAAACATGTCGCTTTAAGCGTCATTCTGAAACATGTCACTTTAAACGTCATTCTGAAACATGTCACTTTAAATGTCATTATGAAACATACCCCTTTAAATATTTTTTCCATTTTATTAACAGAACATTTAATACGGTTGTTGATATCAAGTTAAAGAAATGGGCTGATGAACAACTACCTAAAAAATGTGTTGAGGTAAAATTCTTTCTGTACATTAAGAAATTAAGTTGTAATAAGACCCATGTGCTACCTCTGACTAGTAAGTTGGGGGGGGGGGTTGGATGGCTGAATGGTTAGCATGTGCGCGCTGTATCATAAGGCCTGTCATTAAGTCAACTGGCGTGGTTTCGAATACCCAGTTGTACGTGACAAGGGGTAGGGTCGCCTGTCCAACCTCCGGTTTCCTCCCACTGCTAAAGACCCTACGCGCAAGCGAATTATTGAAATAAAAAATTTAATTTTGAAGAGAAGGGAGATGGTGTTCTAAAGACCCCTACCCGCAAGCGAATTATTGAAATAAAATTAAACCATATGTTAGTCCCGAAATGACCTAGTTTGTGTCGAGTGGACGTTAAACCCCATCTCTCTCTCTCTCTCTCTCTCTCTCTCTCTGACTAGTAAGATCCTAATTTGAAACATCCTCAAGATTCTTCAATAGTTTCAATGACCTTACTACATTATGGAATCAATGACAATCTAAACTTGGGAACCCCATCAACCATTTTTTATGTGGTTTCAATATGTGTGCATTATTCTATACAGGTTGTAGAATTTTATAGATACATGGCGGAGGTCAACCGTAGCCCAGTTTGAAAATTGGGCTTTAAAATATGCGTTTTTTTCCGGCATGAAAAATGACCAATGGGTCAGATCTAGGCCTACATGTATACAACTGACATGGTACCCATGGTGTGTACACATTGGCATGCACGTAAAAGAAGCCTTGACAGTTGGAATTCGAAATAAGAGTAGGCCATAGCACCTAGAAATTTCCCTCAAACCCCGTCTTCATTAGCCCAGTCGGGGTAATTATTTATTATTTTAACAGGTTGGATGGGAGACGTTACATGATCAGTTTGAGAAACTGGTTAACAGAGAACAAACTAAGAAAGGACATGACGATATTTATGATAAGTTAAAACAGGCTGTGTTAGGGAAGTCCAGTACCGATCATAGATGGGAAGGCAAGGCTGAAGATAGTTTGGTAAGTCGATAGAAACTTTAGCCAGTGAAGTATGCAATATATATGTTTTAGATTGCAACACTAACATATATCAACTACTTATAGATGGTTCTTGGTTTAAACCTCCCAAACTAGGACTCCTTAGACCGGCCCAAGCCCTTTTATAATTTAGGGAGTTGTGCAGAATAATATTTTATCTTTTAGAGAGTTATACAGAATACTATATTATATTTTAGAGAGTTATGTATATTATATTTTAGAGAGTTATGTATGTTATTTTTTAGAGTGATATACAGAATATTATGTTTTAGAGAGTTGTGTATATTATATTTTAGAGAGTTCTACAGAATAATATATTATAGTTTAGAGAGTTGTGTATATTATATTTTAGAGAGTTATACAGAATAATATATTATAGTTTAGAGAGTTGTGTATATTATATTTTAGAGAGTTATACAGAATAATATATTATAGTTTAGAGAGTTGTGTATATTATATTTTAGAGAGTTATACAGAATAATATATTAGAAGATAGATCAGTAACAGATAAACAACAGTGGGATTCGGCCATTAAATTCATGGAAGAAACTTTAAAAGGCAAATTACAACAAGGTGAATATAATTAACTTTATATTTAAAGGTGGAATCAGGCTGAAAAATACCGGGAAACTTTCTCAACCAACTCCGAGATTGGACCTCCTGGTTAGTGAGCCAGCGCCTTACTCACAGATCCACTGCAGCTCCTACATGCTCATCTTCACGTGCTCTACTAGCTTGGTTGGTGAAAAAAAGTAGGAAACATTAAACCATCTTGGGGGGGGGGGGGTGGATGGCCGAATGGTTAGCGTGTGCGCACTGTATCATATGTCTAAGTCTCGATTATCCATTTGATTGTTAAACTTTTAAATCTCGTGAGTGTTCAAATCCATTTAAATCTCTGCCATCCGACTGTCCAGAGAGTTGATTATAGTCTTGTTATGTAAATAAATGTCTAAATAATAATTTATATAAACTCTTCAATAGATTTAGCTCTTACATAATGCTTCTTTAAAAGCTGGTATGAAAACAAAGGAATTCAAATTCTTCTAAAGGATGGTTCTGCATGATTTATACGTAAATTAAACGAATGATATGTTATATTTTTTACAGCGGAGGATGCACTGAATGAATTAACTGGTCCAGGTTTAAAAGAACAATGGTTCAACTGGAAGAGTCGGACGCCAGATCACTGTAATCGTATCGCAACAAATAATGAACTAGAAAGATTATTACATTCTTCTAGGGTAAGTGTGGCCTGTCCAACCTATCTCTCTCTCTCTCTCTCTCTCCCTCTCCCCTGGGATTATGTCTTATTTATCAAATGTGTCACTTATGTTTATGGACCATCTTTGCCCAAAAAAGTGTAGAACCTATTGGTTATGGACCATCTTTGCCCCAAAAAGTATAGAACCTATTAATATAAGGTGACTGAAGCCCTCTAGTCAACGTATCTCCTTAGATACCTCATCCATCTAATAAACCTTATCATTTCATACAAAGTATGGAGTATGACCATCTTCATTAGCCCAGTCAGAGCAGAGCAGTAGGACCTTAAACCCCATTTTAATTTCATTTCATTTCATACACTTCCAGTAGGATGCTGAGATTTGTCGATGTCGTGGGCTAACTCCTCTTGATTGTTTACACCAAATAGTCTAGTGCCGCATACTCAAAAATGTGAGAAAGACGTTTGAAATGTGCCAAAACGGATGAAAAAACCTTTTCATTCAAAATCAGTTGGACAGTTTGTACAACAAAGATAACAAGGATAATTTCAAATTGCACAAAAGTTAATTCCACTCGTTCATTGGGGAAACCATTAAAACGGATGCGCAGGGCTGTTGCCCGTCTCACCCTCCGGCCTCCATCCCTAATACACATCACCAACTCATCCCTTAATACACATCATCAACCCATCCCTTAATACATGTCATCAACCCATCCCATAATACACGTTATCAACCCATCCCTTAAAACACGTCATCAACCCATCCCTTAATACACGTCATCAACCCATCCCATAATACAAGTTATCAACCCATCCTTTAATACACATCAACCCATCCCTTAATACACGTCATCAACCCATCTCTTAATACACGTCATCAACCCATCCCTTAAAACACGTCATCAGCCCATCCCAGTAATACACATCATCAACCCATCCCTTAATACACATCAACCCATCCCTTAATACACGTCATCAACCCATCTCTTAATACACGTCATCAACCCATCCCATAATACACGTCATCAACCCATCCCATAATATACATTATCAACCCATCCCTTAAAACACGTCATCAACCCATCCCTTAATACACATCATCAACCCATCCCTTAATACACATCAACCCATCCCTTAATACACGTCATCAACCCATCTCTTAATACATGTCATCAACCCATCCCATAATACACATTATCAACCCATCCCTTAAAACACGTCATCAACCCAACCCTTAATACACATCATCAACCCATCCCTTAATACACATCATCACTTAATACACATTATCTATACGTCATCAACCTAAGAGATACTCCTCAAATTCTTCATCTATTGAATATCTATTTATAATTGCAGGTTCATCAGTCACATCTTTCTGTGGATGAATTAACAACTGTTCGTAAAAATCTACAAACACAAAATATAGACGTTGATAACGACTTTGTAAGTTTGATCTTTTGTTTTTATTCTTTCCATTCTCTTCAGTTGGAGCTGCAGTGGCTCAATGAGTAAGGCGCTGGCTCATTAACTCACTAACCAGGTGACCCAGGGTTCGATCTTGGTGGAATCCCCACTTGTACGTGGCAAGGAGTAGGGTCGCCTGTCCAACCTCGTGGGTTTTCTCCGGGTCCTCCGGTTTCCTCCCACTGCTAAAGACCCCTACGCGCAAGCGAATTATTGAAATAAAATTGAACCATATGTTAGTCCCGAAATGATCTAGTTTGTGTCGAGTGGATGTTAAACCCCATTTCTCTCTCTTGGTGTTGGTCGAGAGAGTTCATCAGAATTTTCCAGCATCGTGTAGAACGGAGGGCCTGGCAAGGACAGTGACTAGTTGATCAGATAGGACAAAAAACAGAGGTCCTGTGTACACATTGCGTGCACGTAAAACATCCCTTGACAGTTGGAATTTGAAATGAGAGAAGGCAGTAGCGCCGCTGTACGGGCAATATTTCTCTCATAGCACACTTTATGGAGTATGGCCGTTAATTTGCCTTATCGGAGCAGAAGTATGACCGTTAATTTGCCTAGTCGGAGCAGAATAGTAATTCGCTAAACCTCATTTCATTTCATTTATATAATTGGAAACTGAATTATCAATTATCAAGATAAGTTGCCTTGAAAATCTTTATTCACATCAATTTTAATATTTTATATACTGTTTATTTTCAGATTCGTGAAACATGGTATCACGTTTATCGTAAAAATTTCTTTAAAAATGCATTGAGTCAGGCAAATAATTGTCGTAAGGGTTTTTATTATTATCAACGAGGATTCGCAGATACGGGGGTAAGTCTTGTCTAATGCTCATTGGGGGGGGGGGGGTCTTGGATGGCCGAATGGTTAGCGCATGTGCGTTGTATCATAAGATCTGTTATTGGTGTGGTTTTGATTCCCCAGTTGTACGTGACAAGAAGTATGTTTGTCTGTCCAACCCCATGTGTGTTTTCTCAGGGTCCCCCGGTTTCCTCCCTCTCTCTCTCTCTCTCTCTCTCTCTCTTATACTCGTTAATAAGATGGTAAAAATTCGAAATAAGAACAGGCTGTGGCACCTTATCTGGGCAAAATTTCACTCAGTCAATAGTACAGTGCATGATGTATCTACATGTCTTCAAAAGTGGAGTTAGTGCAGAAAAATATATCAGTTTGTTAAAAATGACAACACAATTTACAGTAAACTTCACATAAATCGGATCTAAGTGGACTGACCAATTTCATCCGAGTTCAGCGAAGATCCGAGTTAGTCGAAGACCGGAATAAACTGCAAGAGCTGGATAATAATTGATTCAAAGGCACATTTCAAGCTTTTGTTCGTATATGCGAGTAGACAACTTCCGTCTCCTACAGCCTGAATTAGATCAAATGGATCAAACATTTTAATCCGAGTTGAGCAAAGATCCGACTTAGGAAATCCGACTTACGCACAGAAACTTAATAAGAAAAACATGCAGGATCAAAGAGTCCAAATGATTTTATCCAAGTTGAGCAAAGATCCGACTTGTACGAATCCGACTTATGCAAGGTTTACTGTGTATGTTAATCTCATCAACATAAATTGTGTTGTGGATTTGTATTGTGCTCAATCGCGCAGTGCAACTCAAGGATTACATCAGATTATTGTGAACAAATTGTTCTAGTGATTTTATTTAGACAATCAGATTAAAATACAGATCTATATTTCGTTTCGTTTTTTTATACTTTCGATGGCCTACACTACATAAAGATCTGACAAGTTATTGCGATAGGTCACGTCAGGGGTCAAAAGACCGACTTATGACCCTATGATGTCAGACATTTCATCAACCAATCAGTATTGATGTTACTAGTGGATTACCCACAGTTCAATGCAAAACACGCCTAAAGCTCGCCGTAACAGACCGTTCATTGGCTTATCCCTGACACCATTCAGAACACGAGTTAAATAACAACTCTTCCAGATCCAAGTGTAGTAAAGACAAGTAAAACGAAATTTTGAAGTATAAAAACGAAACGAAATAGGATCTGTGTTTTAATCAGATTGTTATTTAGACATACATTATGTAAGAGCTAAATCTGCCTATTGCAGGTCTTTCTTTAGGCATGAAATGTTATATCAACTATTACTTAGACATTTTTTCACATAACAAGCCTTTAATCAACTCTCTAGGACATCAGATGGCCGAGATTTGACCATCCGCTATATTTAAATATTTAACAATAATATGGACAATCTAGGCTTAATATCAGTTATTAAGTATCTTTGTTATGACAATAAACGTTCTACACTATATCTTCAAACAGTGATAACTTCGTTCAGAATAAAGTAATTTGAATGAAATTTTATATAACACAAGGTACAATTTTATGGATACACAATTACTGAGTTTAATACTAAGGGACGTTTTGACGAGGATACACTCGTCTTTATCAAGCAAACCATCGCTTAGTATTAAACTCAGTAATTGTGTATCTATAAAATTGTACCTTGTGTTAATATGTTCAATTACTAAATGCCAATCAAAGAAGAAAATTTTCTATATATTCATGTTGTATTATCTATTTTAGAAATAAGACAACCATGAACACGATGAATTATTTATATTGTGTATTTTTATTCCAACAGTTAGACTGTCACGATGTTGTTTTATTCTGGAGATTACAGAGAATGT